GGGGGCGTGGGAAGGTGGGGGGGGGGCGCGGAAGGGGGGGCGGCGCAGGGAGGTTCCGACTCCGTGCGCTTCGCCGTCCGCGTTCAGATCCCACCAAACGACGCCGCACAGCCAGTACTTTCTCGCGGGGGAGGGCGAGGACTATTATGATTATGGTGATGGTTGTGATTGTGATTGTGGCGCACGGCCACCTGGGCGACGACCCACACCGAGGCCGAGCCTGCGGCCCGCGGCCAGTGAACGGCGACCAGCTGGCAGCGACCTGCCTCAGGGTCCCGCCGCGCGCGAACGCGAACGCGAACACGACTCCGCGCACGGCGAGACGCGCGCAGGCGTGGTGATCGTGGTCAGTAAGGTCGTCGCCGCTGCAATCGCCGCTGCAGTTGCCATGCCTCTCCCGTCCCGCCTGACGCTGACGCCAAGGGCCCGCACACGCATACACGCATCATAGCATGCAGCCCATACTGTATACCGTATACTGTATAGTATCCGGCCCCCGGGTCGCAGCTGCTGTAGCCGGATAGACACCGTTAAGACACCGAGCGCGCGCGGCGTCGTCTGCGTCAGCAGCAGCGACCCTGCGCCGGACCCTGCCACCCTGCACCGGACCCTGCCACCCTGCCCCTGCCACCCCAAGCACCAAGTCCATCACGCGTGACGCACCCTGCATGATGCATCCTGGTTCCTGCCACCCCGGTGGCCCAACTGCAGCGCGGAGCCCGAAAAGCTTGAGAGTCAAGACGCGGACTCTGAGCTTAACAGCCCCGCTGGCGCCCCGGACATGAAGCCCGCCGCGCGACTCCCGGGGGGGGGGGGGGGCAGGGATAGTAGGATAGTAGGATAGTAGGATAGTAGGATAGTAGGATAGTAGGATCCTAGGATCCCGGCGAATATGGGCGCGGAGAGCAAGCACTCACCTGCGGCGGGGGCAGCGGGCCGGGGCGCGAACGAACACCCTCGGAGGAAGCCAGCCCTCCCCGATCTCGATCTCCTGATGCCAGTGCCCGCACCCGTGCTTGATGTATATGTAATATATATATACCAACAATCACCGTATCAGAAACGCAGCACCCAGAACCGTCGCCGGGGCCGGGGCCGGAGATACGCGAACCACGCACCACGCACCACGCACCACGCACCGCGCACCACGCACCGCGCACCGCGAACCGCGAACTGCGAACCGCGAACTGCGAACCACGAACGCGCCATTTCGGGGCTAGCACGGAAGAAGCCCCTGGTACCGTGTGCAGCCGGGACTGGGACGCCCGGCGCAGATTGCGCAGGGTGTGCCGCGAGTGGTGGTGGGCCTGGGACTGGGTGGTGGGTGGTCGCTGCCGTCCGACCGGTCGCGCGCGTGCACACACGATACACGTTGCGGGGCGGATTTCGCCGCGGGTCGCGCGTTCCCGCGGGGCGCGCGCAACGCGCAACACAACGACGGGAGAATGTACAGTAGCAGTAGACAGTACGGTGTACGGTGTACGGTGTACGGTGTACGATGTACGGTGGTATGTACGTGGTACAATGCAAGATAGAATATGACAGCACAGCGCGGATCCGACGACAGGCGATAGCAGACAGGACGACGACAGACACAGATATACACAGGCGCAGACGCAGACACGCAGACGCAGACACAGACACAGACACACGCCGCCGCCGAACGACGGCGGCAGGGGGACGGCGACCTTCGTTCTTTTTCCTCGTTCCAGTTCCAGGCGGGTTTTGCGGGGGTTTCCTTCTTCCTTCTTCCGTTTTCCTCGCGGGGCGCTATCGCGCGGCGGAGTAGCCGTGCCAGTCGCCCATGGAGGTCTGGCTCCCTGCATACTGGTGCAGCGTCGACGCATATCCGTTGTGGCAGTTTGCGGGCTGGGACTGCGGGCGGACGAAAAAGAATGCGAACACGCTCATCAGCGCGGGCTGTCCACTGCGTCCACCATACATGGGGCGCCGCGCACCTGATACGGCTCGTCCTCGAGCTTGACGAGCTCATACTGGTTCGTCGCGTGCGCGAAGGACGGCAGCATCGGCTGGCTCTGGCTCTGGCTCTGGCTCTGGCTCTGCTGATGCTGATGCTGATGCTGGTGGAGGCCGCGCTGGTGCGGCGGGGCGTAGTCCGACGGCTGTTGGTGCAAAAAAACGGAGCGTCACTAGGATCCCGGGCTCTCAGCACGCGCAGCCGGGGCAGGACTGGCAGGGGCGGAGGAGACACTCGCCGAGAATGAGGGGCTCGACGCGGTGCTCGAGCCCGAGGGCGTGCCGGGGAGCGGGTACGCCGCGAGCCCGTACGGCGCGCCGAACGACGCGCCGTTGCTCGGTCGTGAGGCGGGGTACGGCGACGGCGCCGGCGCCGGGTTCTGCGTCTGCTGGGACGGCGGGTGGTGGCCCGGCGGCGGGATGAGGAGCGGCGGCGGCGTGTGCGCGTGCGAGCCGTGCGAGCTCTGCGGCGGGGAGGCCGTGTACTGCTGCGGGTGCACGGTGAGCGGTGAGCGGTGAGCGGTGAGCGGTGAGCGGTGAGCGGTGAGCGGTGAGCGGTGAGCGGTGAGCGGTGAGCATGCGGGCGGCGCAGGCAGGGGCACTCACGACGTATACGGCGGAATCGGTCATGCGGCGGCGGCGGGCGTCGCGGTCGTCGTCGGGGGCGCGGGCGAGGTCGGGGCGGAGGCGCGCGCTGCGGAGGTCGAGCTGGCGGCGGAGGTCGTCGAGCTGGCGGTGGAGGAGCTCGTTCTCCTCCTCGAGCTCGCGGATGCGGATGAGCGGGGGCGGGAGGGCGGCGACCTGGTCGGGGGAGAGGGCGAGCACGCTCTGCAGCTTGGTGACGGTGCTTTCGAGCTGTGTCGTGCGGGGCGTTAGCGTCGCGTCGCGTGTTGTTGAATGGGTGCCACGCGGGCGCACCTGCTCTATGTAGGCCTTGCGCTTGGCGCGGTGGCGGGCTTGGGCTGTGGGTGCGCGGGTGAGCGGAGAGTGTGGCGGAGGAGGGGCTGCGCACCTTTGGCGTTCCTGGAACGCTCTGGGCGGTCGTGATGGGAGAGGAGGGCGTGGCCGTCGGGCGGGGAGTGGGAGGGCGAGGTGAGGGGCGTCATGTCACGTAAATGTGGGGAGGGAAGGTGATCGGGGCTGGACTGGGTGAGGAGGATCAGGAGGACTACCCTTATAGCACAGGGCCCGCGAGACGGAGAGGGGGCGATAGCCAGAGAGGGAAGCAGGGGCCAGATGCAGAAGGACGGATCCCCCGGGGTGGGACGGCAGCGGGCAGTGTTCGTCCATCGCGCGTCGGCCGCACCCATTCAAATCCCCATCACCGCATGGCACATATCCTCCGTCGCTAACCCCCCCCCCTGCCTTTTTCGCACAACTCCGCGGCTCTCGCTCAGTGCCCGCCAGCCGTCCGCCGTCTTGTGGGTCCACATCAGCGAGCCCACATCAGCGAGGGCACCAGCTCGCAGGATGCGCGCGCTGTCGCGTCCACCGCGATGGCCCCTCCGAGCCTCGCGCACGGCATAGCGTCGTCCGACGCACGCCCACCGCGGACGCGCACGACCGGGCGCGGAACTTGCCGCCGCCGTCGCGACTATGGACGACTGCAAACAAGTATTCGGAGTCGCATAGCTTTTCCATATCCCGCCTAGCAGCTGCCATCCACGATCCATGCACGCCATCGCCAAAGGCCCCGAATTCCGAATTCCGACTGCCCCCGCGCGCGGCGTGTGTCTCCTTGCCAGCAGTGGTGTCGCTCCTTGGGTTTCACACTTTAGGGCCGATGCCGCCCACCGTTTGGCCCCAGGCAGGCCTTGGCTCGTCGTACGTCACCCGAGGACGGCGCGCGTCATCGCCAGTGCACACTCTGAAGCCCCAATCCAGGAACGTGCCGTTCATCTATCGCCCCGTGCGTCTTCTGCCTGCGATCCCCCCCTAATCACGCCGCCGTCGACGTCGATACTCATATCAATAAACGGCCCCCCGGCGCCTGATTAGGCCGCTGATGCCCTAGTGTGCCCGCCGCCTGCACCAATCCCAGTCCCTGATCTCCCTCCTGGCGAACAAATCACGCCGCGCCGATTCGTCGCCGACGCGTCTCCCGCGCCCCCAAAGCGGCTAGCCTGTCTCGCCCGGCGCGTGTGCGCTGCCACCACGCACTCATGCGCGCGATGACGGGGCAGCTTTCAGCAAACGCGCGCACGCGCGACACATGCTCCGCGTCCGTCCTATCGCCCTGCCTGCGCATACCGTGGCCTTGACAGCCCGTGGCTGACGACATGAGTTGCCGGCCCGCGTGCCATGGTTGCCGACACGCCGCCCTCGGGGTGTGTGCTTGAGTATCGAATATCGAACATTGAATGAATATACTGAGTACTGAGTACTGAGTACCGAGTGACCGCACTCCTCTGCGCCCCCGCGCGGCGCATGTGAGCCCCTCCGACTCTCCGACTCTCCTCTCGCCGCAGCAACTGCCCCCGGGGCACCAGGCTCGCTCCCTGCGGATCCCATGAAGAACGAACGGCGGCAGGGCCCTCTCGTTCTCCCATGCTCGAGCGCGCTGCACCTGCCCCCTCCGGCGTCCTGCGTCCGGCAACAATCCACAATCCGCAATCCACAACCCGCAATCCGCAACAAAAATCTAGCCCGCAATCCGCAAAACCCAAACCACAGACGCGCGTGGGGGTTGGGGGGGGGGGGGAATCCCTGAGCACAAACACAGACACAACGCGCGCCCTCGATAGCAGCCGAACGAACGAACGAACGAACGAACGGACGGACGCCAATTGCCTCACTCGCTCGCTCACCCCCTCGAGTGCTCACGCGCACGCCTTCACCTTCGCCTGCGACGTGCACCGGCCGCTCGCCCGCTGGTCACGCCTGCACACGAGCACACGCGCACACGCGCACACGACACGGACCCCCCTCCCGCCCAATACGGCAAGCACGGGCCCGCTATCGCGACGCGCCCACCCAAGCCCCAAGCCCCCAGCTCCAAGTCCCCAGCTCCAAGCCCCAAGCTCCGGACGCGTCCCCCGTCCCGTGCGTGATGCATGAAGCCTGAGGCCTGAAGCCTGATGCATGAAGCCTGAGGCCTGATGCATGAAGCGCGAAGCCTGATGCATGAAGCGCGAAGCCTGATGCATGAAGCGCGAAGCCCGATGCTTGATATGTCGACATGTCGATATCCCATGCCCATGTGCATGAGCGAGCACGCCCCCGTCGCCCGCAAAAAAGACGCAGCGGCACGCGCACCGGGCAGGGTGCAGGCACAGGGAGATCTCCGCGTTCCAGGGACTGCCGGCGCGGCCGTGCCAGTCCTGGTCCTGGTGCTAGTCCTGGTATGGCACGGACAGGCGAGGAGATCCCCGCGCCTCTGCGATCCTGCGATCCTGCGATCCCAGCGCGCGCGCCTCTGGTCCCCGTCCGCGGACAACGGACAACGGGCCACGGGTACCAACGGACGGCGGGCACGCGCGAGGAAGGAAAGGCAAGCAAAGGCGTCGCCGCGCTGCTTACCTCTCCCCGGGCTGCTTTCTGTCTTGTGCGCACGTCCTATTCCTATTTTCCATGTCTATGTCTATGTCTATTTCTATTTCTATTTCTATTTCTATCCGCGCGTCCTATCGCTGGCGCCCCCAGGGTCCACGATGGCCCTGCCGCCCGCGCGTCCAGCGGCGGCATTGCCACGGTGCGAGGCGAGGCGATGTGCACCCGGGTCCCCAGCCGCCGCCCGATACCCGAGGCGTATGCATGGCCGAGAAGGACTGGGAGCCTCGGGCAAGCACACCACACTGGCGCAGCCGCCCTGCTGGCGGCTCCCTTTCCCCGTTTTATTTGGTTCTTTGATTAATTGACTAATTGACTAATTGACGGATTGATAGTGATCGCTGGTGGTGCTCCTTGTCTTGCACTCGCCAGCGCGCCGCACCCCCGTAAGGGAATGCGTGCCCGGGCGGACGCACGGCCAGGCCGGATCCAGTGCGAGTGCGAGTGCGAGGGGGGGCCGTGCGCTGGCAGGGCAGGGCGCCAGGCAAGCACCGACTGGACGCGCTTGGCGCCACCGCCGGGACGGGAGCGTGCGGCCGTCAATCGCACGGGCACTAGGCACTAGGCACTAGGACGCCGCGTAACGGCAGAGGAGCGCAGGGGGCGGGCGCACGCAAATCCCGCCCGCCGATCGCGCCACGGGCGATCGTGGACACACATGCGCATACTTGGATACCGTAAGCACGCGCGCATACGTAGCGTAAGCCCGCGTCCGTTCCTGGCCGCGCTCGAACTCGATCGATCGCAGAGCTACGAGATGTACTGTATTACTCTGTTCTGTGTACGGCATGTCGAGGGCCATATGCCAGCATGGCCGCGGATCCACCGCGCGGTGTGCAAGTCCCATCTGATGCCGATGCCGATTGCGCGCCCGCGCACCCCGCCGCGGCGTAGCGCCCACGCTTCCGGCCGCGCATCAGCCAAATTCGCATTCGCTTGATGCCGCCGCGGTTGCCGGAGCCGGGCGTTGGGTGTTGGGTGTTACTTACTAGTACTGTATTATGATGGTGAACGTGCGCGTGAACGTGAATGTGAACCGCAGCCGCGGCCCAGTATAGCGGTAGCGGGCGACCGGGCCACACACACCTGTGTCTGTATCCTGTGGCCCTCGTTACCGCGGGTGCGCCGAGGATAAGTTAATCCCATTACGCCATAGCAGCGCTGTCTACGGCCGTGGCCGGAAATGCAAAACGAAAGACGAGTACTACAAGCGTCCGGGGCACGCTCTCTGACGACCACGACACAGTATCGATACACACAAGGGTCCGCCGGCCCGCAACCACACCCCGCATCTCCGCATCTTCGTGCCCAACAGCGCAGCGCGACAGCGCTCAGAAATTCTCTGCGCAGGACAGGGAGGAGAATGAGAACGAGAACGAGGGTCAGCAAAGCGCCCGCGCACAACGACGCTCCGACGCACCTTTTCCGAAGAAGAACTTGGTGCCGCTCGGCGTCGAGTACTTGTTGCAGGAGATGTGCAGCTGCTTCGACAGCACGGCCGGGCCGCAGAAGAACTGGCGCGCGGACACGGACACGGACACGGGCATTCGGTGAGGCCGGGCAGGGACACGCGCGGAGAGAGGGGGCACGTACCACGCCGACGTCCGTCTCGGGGTGCTTCTCTGCGATGGAGCTGAAGACCCTGTCCCAGTTCGGGCGCCCGTAGTGCGTCGGGGCCCGCAGCGAGGTGATGGCGTCCTTCTCCGCACCCACGTCTTGCACCTGCATCAGCGCCACGTCCAGCATCAGCATCAGCCATCGGCCGCGACAAAAGCAGAAAAGAGGGAAACGGGAAGAGGGTGAAAAAAAAACAAGGGGAGGGGGGCGGAGGGGCAAGAGACAGATAGGGGGCAATAGGGAACAGCGCGCACAATGATGTTGTTCATGTCGTCCTCCTTGATCTTCGCGGTGAGGTAGATGTTGATCTCGATGCGGTTCTGCGTGTCCTGCTCCTCGATGGCCTGCAGGAGCGAGTGGAACCATTCGGCGCTGCCAAAGTCACGGATGACCCAGGTGAAGTAGACCTGTGCAAGCGGGCGCGGTCAGCCTCCGTGCGCCTAAAATATACATGAAAAGAGATGGAGGAGGTGCATGTGGATGTGGATGTGGATGGCCACCCGAACAACGTGCCGGCTGGACACGGGTACAGGGACACAGGGACGGATGCAGGGCACACATTGATAGAAGGACAGGAAAACGGATGGCCTGCGATGGAAGCTCGGGGGAGAGAAACCGCCTGGCGCGCGTCTGCTCACCTTCGACAGCCGCGTTGGCTTCGAGTTGTTAAGGTTGTTCATGCGGTACCAGATAGACTTCAGGATCCTGCGCGCGCCAACGAAGCGTACAGGGTGCAACAGACCAGATAACAAGAAACAGAAGACAGAAGACGGTCAAATCACACACCCTGGCGGCGAGGAAGGGAACGGGAGACGCACGAGGCAAACGGCGTGACGCCGATACCGGCACCGACGAGGAGGACGGTCTCGTAGTTGAGGAAATCCTCGGACGCGGAGCCGAAGGGCCCGTCGACCATCACGCGCGGCAGGACGCGGTTCACGGGCGGGTTCGTGTTCGTGCCGATGAGCTTCCCGCCGGCCTCCACGCCCTTCTCCTTCGAGTCGAAGTCGCAGCCGACCGCGGCCGCGAGCTCCCGCGTGAAGTCGCCGACGATACGGATATGCACCGAGATGTAGTCTTCCTCCGGCGCGCTGCGGCATACGTGAGCAATTCACTTTTGAATCAGATTTAGCGGGTATGTGTGCGGCTGCGTACCTCGTGAGCGTGAAGGGGTGCCACTGGAAGTACGAGATCTCCGGGCAGGAGAGGAAGATGTACTGTCCGGCCCGCGTTGTCGTCTTCTCCTTCTTGATCTGGAGTTCCATGACGTTCGACGGGTGCTGGATGACCTTGGAGATGTAGGTCCGGTGGCGGGAGCGCACTTCACGGAGGATACGCTCGAAGGTGAAGATCACACCGCCAGTAAGCCAGTAGCGCTGCAATCCCGCAGTCAGCCGTGTCCAACACTCTGCTCATCGCGGTGCAACACATACCCAGAAGACACCGATGGAGTTCCACGTGCAGAACGGCTCGCGGTCGGGCTGGATCATGCAGAACATGCCGTGCAGCTGCCAGTTCAGGAAGAAGACGATGAACAGGTGATGCGTGTACCAGAACTTCTCAAAGTTCGCGCGGCGGCGCTTCTCGATCGCGTACCACACCATGATGGCGAGGGAGGCGGTCATGATCCAGCCGGTAACGCCGGGGCCCGTCGTGAAGTTCGCGATGAGCCAGACGACGAAACGTTCGCCCGGCGTCTTGGCGAGCGGGTCGGCGAACGCGAGGCGCGCAAAGTTGACCATGTGCGCGGCGATGTGGATGAAGGTGAAGAGACAGATGCCCCAAGCGACGGCCTTGTGGAAGGTGATGTTCTTGTCAAAAGGGATGTACGAGTTGAGCGGCGTGCGCCGGAGCAGCGAGATGAAGTTGCGGCAGATGGGCAGCAGGATGAACGCCACCTCGACGTGCAGGACCAGCGCCGCGGAACGCGCGATAGCTTGGGGCGCGACTAAGCACGTTTCTGGGTAAGGTAGCACATACGACACGGTACTCACGGTAGGTAATACCGAATGTCTTGCGGGCGCCTTTGAGATCATCACTCGTATCGTAGTACAAGAAGCCGAAGACGATGACGAGGACGTGGAGAAGGACGAAGAAGGTGAAGAAGAGCCGCTTCCCGCCCTCGTTGATCATCCACAGACGCCATCTGTCGACCCACGTTTCGGGCTTGTAGGGTGTGGAGGTGATGGTGCCGACGGTGTTGGACCGCTGAAGCGGCTGGAGGCGCCTGCGCTCCGACTTGTTGCGCTGGAGGTGGCTGGGCTGCATGCCCTGGTCCGCGAACGGGTTGTCCATGTCAGGGTGCTGGGCGAGCGGCAACTTGCCGTCAGAGAAATCGAGGTCAGAGGAGCGTTTGGTCCAGTTAGCGGCCATTGGTGGTAAACGGTGAGTTGATAGCTGTCGTCGTCTTCGTCCTGCACAGCGGACAAGGAATGAGCGAGGACCTGCCTGAGTAAAGGACCGTAGAGTATCACGAAGGCGAAAGGGGAAGAAGTGAAAGCTAAAAGTAATGGGCACTAGGCTGAGGCGGCTGTGTGCTTGGACATCCCTTTTGATTGTCGGCCCCCTGACGGCTGCCCGCCCGTTGCCATGGCAAATCTGGACAATTTCGCTCTCTGGAATTCACGCCTGGTCTTCCAGCCTCACAGAGACCGTATCGACCGCGCAACACTCATCGTCCAGGTGACCATCGCATATCTTCATGTTCTAACCCGCCGCGTTCTTGTTTTCCGTTTACCGGCTCTCTGCTGCTCGAATGTACCTCGACATCAGGCTGCTCATCGCTATCCGTACTCCCTTGCCAAGGCGTAGACGTTACACACGGCAGGCCGGAATGCTGACACCGGGAGCGGCAACAAAGCGATGAAGAGAGACAGATGAGAGATGCATAGCAGCAGCCGCCACCGCATCGCTGATGCACATCTCTGGCAGTTGGCCACATCCTGGCTAGACGCCCGGCAAGTCTTCGCAGCGGCTGCCGTTCAAATATCGCCTACAATTTAAAATGGCCCACTCTCAGGACCGCTGAAGCCCCGTTTCTAAGTGGGAACAAATGCTATCATAATCTTGAACAGAAGCCTCCTGGGGTGCCACCCGAACTTGCGGGTCTTGCAGTTGGTTCCCATCACGTCTCACTAGATAGTGGGCATAGCCATTCTCGATGCCACCAAAAGTGTTTATGATATCTTCGCTGCACGCATATCATTCGTTGGGCCCCAATCTGATTCCTTCGATCGACGGTACTGGCCCCCTCTTGATCCAGCTGCTCGTTTCTTTCTGCGCCCTACATTGACAACCCATCCAACTCGTACAGCTATGCCCGGCTCATAAAGAGACCTAACCTGCAAGGCTTGTGCTTGACCAATCTTCCACGGCCACCTAGCGACACACACAAGGATTCCATTTGCTGCAATCCAACTGGAAAGAGGAAGAGTCTAGGATATGCTACAGAGGAACCGATCATAACACCAGTCCGTGCCCGCTGCCTGGCAAAACTCAAACCACCCCACCTCCTGGTGCAATATACTTCTGGGTGGCGTGGTTTCGAGGGCAGCCTGCCGCAAATGCGCGGTGGTAATGTACGATATGAGATTTCGGCAATGTGGCACCGGCCTGGTCAAGATCGGCTGTCTGGCTTCACATATCGCCTACTCTGCGTCCCCGCAAGCTGGCATGTGCATAGAATGAACTCTCATACTGCCGGCCGTGCTTTCAATCTATCTGTGTCTACAAATACTTCACCTTCGACTCATTTGACAGATGGCATCATGGAACCTGGTGTCCGCATGTCAGCCGGCACTCTAAGGTTCGTTGTACAATGTTTCGAAGCTTCCCACCGCGCAGGAGCTCGTATGCGGTACGTGTCCTCCATACTCTCCACAGAGAGCATTCTAGCTCTGAGAAGATGTCCATTTGTGCTCAAGTTCAGGTACCACAAACAGAATGCATGCCCATTTCCCATGTACAAGTTTGCAATCACGTCCGTTCTCACGCCGAAGCCGACGTGCTGCAGGCTGATAAACCAGATCCCTTACGGTCAGCGGCGCCACGTTTCCGTACAGATTGACGGGCACGGCTCACCTAGTAGCCCATCTTGGCTCACGACATTATAGCAGTTGTACGCCGCCTTCTCGCCCTCGGGCGCTGTGATGTTGATGTCCTGGAATAACAAACCAGGGCACGGTGCTGCGGGACTGCATTCGATGTCCACGACTATTCTCGTCCGTCAGTGCTAAATTTATCTTGTTTATTTACAGAACAGGGCACAAATAGTACGCACTCAGATCCGTCGCCGCAGATCCTGTGAAGTTCACGAAGGTGAGGTCGCTGAATTGGTACTCCGACGGGGCGTCACCGCTATGCACGCCCGTGCCGTTGCCAGGGTGTACAGTTAGGATAGACAGCCAGACGCGAGACAGACAGACAGACATTTGCGTTAGTCCTGCACATCGCTGTCAAGACGAAATGGACTAAGTAGGTACTCACGGATGTCCGCTGTTCGTTTGGTACAGCTGGATGGGGTTCGTGACATTGTCCAGGTAGAAGTTGCGCATCGTGGCATTGACAGTGCGGCCTGGCAGACGCAGCCGAGGTGAGAACTTATCTATATCTGGGCGTAATCACATCGCTCACCGGGGTCCACCCCCGCCTTCCGCAGGAGGAAATCCGATCGTCGTACCCGTCCAAGACTTGAAGTAGACCTATGTACCCCGTCGATCAGACACAGTACCTCGGCTCCCACACGCGCGGTCCCGAAAAAATTGCCACGCACCCCGTTCCGCATATATGGCTGGATCGCAGGATCAAGCCGGATTAGCTGCGCAGAGCGAGTGAGTGCCCTATCCCCTTCTGCAGATATTGAATCTGTACGACTCACGTTGACGTTCTCGATCGTGATGTTCTCGACATTGTCATACTGCGACAGCAGACGTCAAGCTCCGGGCAAGTCTCGGAAGGTACAAGACGTACCAGGTCGTAATACTGTCCGAGCGAGCCGAACGCGATCCCGGTTCCGCCGTGGCAGGTGATGTTGTTCGCATATATGTTCGTCGAGTTCTGTGCGCTGGTTAGCGCGGGATGGCCCTGCAGATGGACTATATGGCACTCACGCCCTTGATGGCGATGCAGTCGTCGCCCAACGTGATCTACAGAATGACAGGTGTGTTGGACACTCCGAGATGGCCCAGGCAGACACGAAACGTACATCGAAGTTCAACAGCGAGATGTTGTCCGAGCGGAAGGTGTCAATACCTGCCGTGGACAGTCAGCACCTCTGATGCCCCTAGCAATTCCAGCATGTCCGACGCACCATCTGTGTTCCACACGATGCTACCGGACATATACAATGCATCAGGTCTAACTTCTCGCATAGACCACACGAGCACGAGCACGATCACTCACTTCTGGTTGAAATACAGCGGGTCCGCGTTCGTCGCGTTGCAGTACATCCCGTCGTACACGACGTCCTGCGACTCGGCGATCGCGTTGCACCAGAACGGCTGGCCCTCAATGCGGAAGCCAGCGATGGTCGCACGCGCGGCGCGGTACACGGTCAGCGCAACGGGCCGCCCATCGCCGTCGATGCGAGTGCCGTTGCCGTACCACGACCACCAGTACTGCCCGTTGCCGATGATGCCGCCTGTGTTGTGAGCGTCCACGGTGAAGTCGTGCCCGGTGATCACGAACCACGACGCTTGGCTCTGTGTGGGTGTGGGTGATCAGCGCACGCACGTAGTCAGAGCAAAGGGCGTTGTGCGCACTTGGATGAAGATGACGCGGTAGGTGTTTTCGGGCTTCATCCAGTACGGGAGGTCCGCCTTGAACTGCGTGCCGGCGCGGCTGCCTGTGTCAGGAAGGCCAAGGAGTAGAAACTCAGCTTTGGTACTCACGTTGAGGTAGCCGTGCAGGTCTACCCTTGCCTCAACAAGGTCCCATGTCATCTTCCTGCGCGCAAGCCAGTAAGCCATGTTCATCGCCTTGTATTATGCAGTCTCACCGAGTAACATTATACACGCCCTCCGCAAAAATCGTCGTCCCGTAGTGGCCGCACTGCGCTATGGCTGCCTCGATCTGTCACATTTCCCTTCTCAGCGAGATCTGTGCATCTCCCGCGACCCTCAACACACCTGGTCAGTATCGTCTTGTCCCTCACCCAATGGTGCGAGCGTGCATGCGTTTCCGCTGTAGGTCGCCGCGGCAAAGGGCGTACCTAGCAGCAAGCCCAGAACGAATGTTTTGCACCACGATACCATGGCTGTTTCGAAGGAACTACGACCTTTGATGCTACACGACGACACCACCTCTTTATATGTGTGGACAGGCAGATCATGGCCGCCCTCGGCTGTGTCGACGTCGTCGTCGATACACCGGCTTTGACGCGAAGGTAGGTCTCGTGGCTCGCGCGCGGACCGGCGAGAAGTGGAGGGGTGCACGAGAAGCGATGACCGTGCCAGGCTCGCGCTTGATCTCGAGCACGGGCAAGTGACCCACAGATCTTCGATCGAACATGATCGAGCCCGAGTCGGAGGATGTATGTATGCAACGCGACTAGCTGTGCCGTCCCTGGACGAGGCATACCAGTCTATCACAGTCGGGCTACGTTAGTACCATGCTCGTTTCACTGTAGATTCATTATAGAGTGAACACCTCGTAATTTCTCACTATATGTGTGCAGGTGAGTGGTATGCCGGTGATCGCCTCGGAAAAACTGACCGGGTGATGTAAGAGAATCTTCGAACTCGTGATGCCCTTGCAGTATTGGGAAACCCATAGAGCTTGTACAGCAGCGCGCGGTGATATTACGCCTCACCCGAGAACAGCAGGGTTTTGGACCTCAGCATCACCTCGAAGATCTACGCTTTCTCGTCAGCCTCGAGGCTTGAAACCAAATAATCTGGTGTCATCGGTATTCAGAGGAGGTTCGACGAATTTTGTGCGTTGTGGTGCCAGGCGTGTCTTTTTTTTTTTTGTAGGGGATACGAGGACGCCAGTAAAGGCAAAATGGTTTATCCACACCTGACATGCAGGTAGTGAGGGGATCTCCCAAATAGGGCCTACCCTCTAAAACCTCGTTGTGTCTCTCTTCTCTGATGTTGCCACCAGAGCGGACACTCTCCGCACAGCACCGCCCACCACTAGAGCAACCTTGCTAGGGCCACTATGGTGTGATGGGGGGCCCATCCCAGCAGAATAAAACTGCTGGTCCAACCTGTGACAGTTGAGCGGCTCCGTGCCAGGCGTGTCTTGAATCGTGATTGACTGACTGCAGTGACAGTCTAGCATGATTGCTAACGAGAGGACTCTCAAAGTCATTTCCACACTGTTGGGCTCAAACCGCGACTTGTACTGATGCAAGGAGCTCGATAGCCCAGTCCATCATTATAACTGATTTAGTGAAGACCGGCCAAAAGTCCGATCGTGACATGCAGCTCATGGACACCTCCAGCTGAGATTGACCTCTGGGTATCCATTACCAGCATGAAAGAGTAGTGGTTCCTGCCAGATGGGCTTTTGGAGACCTATTAACAAGTAGACTGATATCAGGCAAACTGTTAGAGTTCGCCACCACTTTTGTGCCCTCTTTGAGAGTCAGTTTAACCATCGCGGTACCACACTGCCGCATGGTGTAACGCTATTCCGACGCTCGTAGTCATGCCTTAGAACCCAAACATCAAATTCCCACAGAAGGCGACCAAGTACAAAAAATGGCCATTGTCTTCTCTCCGTTCTGCTATTTGAACGATTCGAGGAAGCGGTGCGCATGAGTCAAGATATTCCGTTGGATGTGGAGTATGTCGACAGCCCCTCCACCGCGGCGCTGTGGTGTGGCTTGTCTGCTCTCTTGCGCTTCCACATCCAGCACGGCGACTGGCAGTGCTCAAATGTTCTTGATACATACGCCACAAGGTCCCTCCTAGGCCTTCACTTTTCTCTCCACGGGCGAATACTAGATGCTCATTGGTCACAGTTAGACCAAGGTTTGATGGGGGAGCGGCCTTTGATCTTCCAATCGTGATTTATGAATACGTGACCCTTGAATTGTCTTGATAATGAAAGGATGTATTATTTTCGACGGGTCCATTCAACACGCCACGGGACCGCGCAAATGTACTGCAACGGTGGAGTCTGAATTTGTCGCCATGACCTGTGAGTGACGGAGTTTGCAGAACTACCGCAATTTGGTCGCTTCCAGCCGGCATCCATCTACAGCTCGCAATTCATCATGTATCACCTTGAAACTTGGTATACAGACTGCCAGAATCATTATAGATGATGCCTGAGCGATGAAACATACGCTTTTTCACTCGTTTGAGCAGATTGGCCAAGGCATCAATATGTTTTGCAAAACCCCGACTCGGAGTGACCATCCTCTGATCCTCAAAAAGGTCGCTCTATTGTAGGTTGCCTAGAAGAGACTATAAAACCCCGTAAGTATCCCACAGTACATCGCCTCCTTTTCCCCACATGTCAGTACAGCCACCTTCACGCGTGTCAGTCTCTCCGACAACTTACGCTCGCTGTTCCTTCAGTCCATACAGCACGTCCGACGCCCGGTCGTCCACAAACCCGAGTTTGATCATCTTGTCCGCAACTCTTGTGTCGCTATGAGCTTAAGATCGCGACTAGGTACGCCCAGTATTGTAGGCCGACTATTCACGGAACTCATGATGATAATGATCAGGCAGCTGTATGAGACTGCTTTTTTGCGACTCGAGCCTGCGTCCTTTCATTACTGCGGGTGAGTGGGTCGGAACGGAGGGATAGCGTCTCGGGACGGAGACTGATACTCGGTCCAGGGGCCTTGTTATACGCACTGCAGTCACTTTCTCGGTGAGTAGCGTATCCCCGATTGTGTTCTACGTTACTGAATGAACGAACGCACAGATGTGTATGTCCTTCCTTGAGCTCTAACAAACCAGACGGTGTTGTTGACGCAGCGAGTGTAGATAGATGCATTCGAGTCATCACGCATAGACAAGTCCCGTAGGTTGTCCTTGCGCTCTGTGCAGACCACCCGTCCTTATGGAACATAGTGGGTTTCCAAAGGCTAGGCACTTTCGATATTGTCCTGGGCTCGATATACGCAGCGACATGCGGGATGTGTTTATTCGGTGTTATAGCGGTCTCGCTCGTGAGTCCTCGACTGTGTGGCGTTGCGCCATTGCAGCCGCTAATTCAGTTGTACACGCACAGCAACGATTGTGGATGGCATGGCTATATGCCCGGTTGAGTGTTGTGAGCGCGCTGGCAATCACAGGAACGGACCTATTCAGGGTCATCGTGCGTTTCGTCCTCAAGGTGCATGCCTCGCGGTTGCGTGCCTTCTTGCAAGCGCTGATTGATTTCGTAGAACGAGCTCTTAGACGAGTGCGCCAAGATCGCTCAGAGCAAGACAGTCATTAAGGTGTGTCATTCATTTCACTGTGCAGTAGTGGATACTCACGATGGCGAAGCTCGGCCTTTCCGAGGCAACCACAAGTGAGACGTTTTCCTGTCCTCACATCCGCAGTATGCTTACGTCCACACTCAGACTGCCGCAACAAATGGAGCTATGGCTCTACCCTCGAGATCATCACATTAATCTTTGTTGCTAGTACGTATCGCTCTACTTCTCCTCTTTCGGCCCTCGTCCCCGTCCCGCTGACGCACGTTCTCATCGCCTTGCAGTCGGCGTTTCCTGTCACAGTTTGCTCGTCTTCGCCTGGTCAAATGAGCTGCACGAGGCAGCTATGTGGGCCAGACTCATGCGCCCTCTCGCGACCAAACCGCCGCGCCCCTCCGGCGGCGAGGATGCCCACCCCGCACACGACAAACCACCGTTGCCCGCTTACAACGCGCGGCAGTGTGCACAGCCTCACGGCGCGCCGCCTGCATACGACGGGCACGACGACAGCGACGACGTGAAGCTGTACAACGATGCAAAGCCGCCGCTGTACTCCGAAGATGACCTCGAGATGCTCGAAAAACAGGAAACGTACAGCGATGTTGTTGGCCCGGACCCGTCCGAGGATTTAGAGGGCAATTATGGATACAAGGACGTCATGAAGTGATGTCGTGTTTCGGGCTTGCCCTGTGTTATCGCTGCTTTCGTGTCTTGCTGTCTGGGTGCACCATGCTTACAGTTTTGCTTTGCTTTTGGACAATGTGTTTGCGGTTACTAGTGTTCGTTGTAGTCGCTGTGCCGCACCCATCTGTATGTTACCATGTCTGCCCTTGTCTCTTTGGAGCGTCAGATACGCCACTTCATTCCGGGTATGTATATGGAGGCTACACAAACATCCCATCGCTTCCTCATATGACGGGCTAGCAGAGTCTACTCGCAGTAGCGACAGCTAGTGGTTGTAGGTACCTAAAGCTGATAATCTATGTCCAGCTCACGCAATACAGCGGCACGAATACCATGTACCTTGCTCTTGAATTTGCTGAGGCCCCGCCGATGTCAATACTGTTTGGGTAAAGTTAGTGATTTCCTTTATCAGGCTTGCGCGCATGTGGAGCTCGCGGGTTCAAAAGTATTCCGGGCTCATACTCAGCTCTGATTGCGTATTCTTGACAAATGGTCGGTTTCAAAAGCAATTTCATTGTGTTAACAACTATTGAGCGCAATCCTCTTCGTCCAGCGGCTGAGGACCACCACACACGAGAAGCTGCTGTGCCGGGCTGATGCCGTATTGTCCGACATGCCTGCTCACAGTATGTGGGGTGCGGTCTGGTGCAGTTCACTGGCTGCGCCATAGTCGCCTGATACTATGAGGTGTATAGAGTTGCTCATGGCCGCGTTCGCAAGCCTCGGGTTCACGAAGCACTGCACATTTTTTCATGATCCTTGTGTCAATAGATGCATCGAGATCTTCTTCACACCTGTGAATATTTTCAGTGCAATGAGTGTTACTTGTACCGGCACGAATCCGCGAGGACGACTCGTTTTGAGGGTGTAATAGGCATAGAGTTGCTCAAATCGTCACGGCATGTCATGGCGACAAGTCGACGCGGCAACGCCCGCCGTCGATCTGAAGGTTGCATGGTCTTGCAAACGCATCTGTGCGACGTGCCGAGCGGAGTCTAAACTACAGGCACATTCAGCCACAGGAGCAAGACGATCTCACCCACCACGCTTGTCTACACCGTACCTCAAGTGCTTTAAAGTATTGGGCTTGTCCATAGACATTTATATCAATAGAAAATGAAGACTGAAAGCTTCTGGGGTGAAATTCTCATCGCATTCGGGTGAGATCTAAATCAAGATTTGTGTGCACTGTTGTCAAAATGCCTTGTCGAGCATGCTACTCTTTCCACATTCATGATTTTATTATTTCAGTGCCATTGGGCATCCATAGGGACTATATACACTCTCACTGATTTTTCGGGATTTAAAATAAAATTGTGGAAGGCTGTATAAGGTGGTTTGAGCAACTCTATGCCTTGAGCAACTCTATACACCCCATAGTACGGCCCACAACATAGGAACAATCACTCCTGACACCGATTCCTAGGTCAAATCGAGAGGATTTCTTGAGCACAAGATCATTTGGTGTTCATACTTATAAGGTACCTGCACAGGGTGGCCATCTCACGACATGTTCACGACATGTAATGCGAGAGACACAGTGCTCTCCTTTGCCCTTTGTTTCGCACAAGTGAGCCCACTTTTTTCATGTCTCTGGAGATCATATGAAGGCCTACAAGATGTATGTATATTTGAGATACAGCAGCATAGGGTACTGAGTGCTGTACGCAATTTTTCTCAAATTTCCTAATTGTTTGAATTGTTTGAATTTTAAAGTCCGTTTTGCGGACCTCGGACATGGATTTTGGGAAGTGTTGTCGAGTCGCATCAACTGCTCAAGAGGCGCCTAATTGTGTACAGTATTCCTGACTTTGAGCAGATCCCAAGCGACGAGGACGGACAGCAATACACCAGGAATACCTTGGACGCGAGCATGGCTCGGCGACACCTAGGCGCCTGTACGAGTCGTAAAGGCACCTGAGCGTCGCTTCCCTCCCGTCTCTGATACATCCATCGAAAAGGTCTCGATGGCGGACATGAGGGCTCATCGCACTGTGCCAGAGCAATGCGACCCTGAATGTAGCCTGCGGTGGCTCAGCACACTACGGCGGATGGTGGCAGGGGAACGGGCTCCGGCTCCATTTAGTCCCCTGTTCTTTACGCGTCGAGTGTTGTGAACATCTTCCTCTGCTATAGTCTATCTCTCAGGGCGTACGCCGCCTGGATAACTCGAGAATGAGTACTGTCGACATCGACGGGCCGGCATCGATTCCGCTGCCATTGTCCCCATCTCCGGATCAGTTGCAATGTCACAATATCTCGCACTACCCTGACGTCGTTCTCCGGGATCCTGTCGACGAGAACTATGCTCGCTCTACCGACGGCGAACTTGCAACCTCGCGTGAAGGCCTCACAGGGAAAGACACCGAAACTGTGCTGCTATCTGACGAACGTGCTGCGGAGGTCACAGCCTGACGAAGATCGTCATGCCTGTGGCGCCCGGTCTCTACCCTTGCACCTCCTGCTGAGCCGGTCATGTCTACTCCGCCACCCCGCCACGGTTGTCTGCCCACGCCTTCGCCTGAAATGGGACGCAAATGCAGGAGTTCATCGACAAGCATGTCAACCGCCATACAGGCGGTCGATCTAGTACCTCTACCCCGCCGTCAAGGCCATCGTCCGCTGCGTCCCATGGCCGCTTGCTCACCATCTCTAAGGGTCACACTGTTTCTGTTGTTGTTACTTCGTCCGCGCTCGAAACCATCGCCGCATCTAGAGAAGCAAAACGGTCTGCCCTTCTGCGCGAGAGCGTTCAGCGTGCGCTGCAACTGGTGAACGCTGGGCAAGGACGAGACAGACCACACGTCTGGCATGTGAGACTCGCGATGAGAAACCCGTTTTTACCGGTCTTGATTATATGTCCAAGCTTATCTCCTACTCATCCTTCGTTGATATTCGTCGGATGCCCAGCCTCTACTCTCTCCGCCTCTGTCACCGGCTCTTACAAGTCAGAATTCGCTACCACATGGTTCGTAATTCAGACTTCCTACAATATCCCTCGGCGACGCTGTCGTTCATACGATCCCATGGCACCCAGAGAATACGCCAGAGACTATGTCCCTCCAAATTGCGAAGGCCTGCTCCACGATCCAATTGAACACGGATTTTCATAATCCGCAGGTAAAGTTCTAAAGAACTTCATCAAGAACAACCGTAGGATAAACGACGAGGCTAACCCTCCGAAGGACTTCCTGACATCCATCTACCAAATGTTGTGACCGATGAAACTCGCATGAAGGATGAGGTAGATTCGACCACGCCAGTTGTCCCTGCAGGTCCCGGACTTCTCGGCGCCTTGGCCAACGTCGGCAGGGACCTTCAAAAGGAAGCCAATGTGATGCGTTCCAATTACATGACGAACAAAGCTGAAGTCGGTGCTCGTTGTATCTCTCTGGAGTCAATGCTGACGCATTGCATCTTGTATCGTAGGCTTTCTTAAGAGGTTTATGCGCTCTCAGCGCAAGGGGTCAAGACCCAGCGAACCTTTCTTTAGCGCACCACACCTCGTACACGTGAGACCGGTGTTTGGTGTCGCTTGGATCCCCTCCTAGCTGGCCTGTCAGGTCCGTTGCAGGATACCGGCGACCTAGATATTGTCGAGATGAGCCTTGATGGCTTCAAGAACGCCATTCGTGTCGTCTGCTTTAATGTGAAACGGAGCGCAATGCCTTTGTAACAACGCTAGCGAGGTTCACTTTCTTGAGCAACTTAGGTGAAATGAAGACGAAGAACATGGACGCAATCAAGACATTCTTAGATGTCGCTATCACTGGGTGCAACAATTAGAAGGAATCCTGGCGCGAAGTTCTCACATGTGTCAGTCAGCTTGAGCACATGCAGCTGATCAGTAGTGGCGCCGAAATACCGGATGCCAGCCATAAGAGGTATGTCTCATTAGCATATCACTGACCTGTATAGCATCTGACGGCCTGCAGCCGTGTTCGCAAACCACCTACCGAGGAATTGGCGAATGAAAGTCGGTCGAGATTGCATACTGTGATATGAAGCAGATTCGTCTTGAATGGTCGATCATTTGGGAGATCCTCGGCGAGCACTTCAACCAGGTAAGGGCAGAACCCGTGGCTCGGTGTACGGTTCGTTGATTTTGTTCTCCATGTATGTGTCTTGATGTGAACGCGATGTGTGCACTGGTTGTCCGTCGTACATCTCGCTGTGGTTACAACTGTAGGCAATGGGCATGTCCGCGTCTCTTCGAGTATATAGCCGTGACCAGTACGTGTCACGTACTGGTACTCATGTGGGAGACAGATCTTGTAATCACAATAGTCAATGTTATGCATGCACCGTGGGGATATCGATCACACTGTGAACGAACAGCCTGTCAGACCTATTCTCATTGAGCAACGTGCTCGACATCCCTGTGTCAAACTGGCCCACACCCGACCCATCGTCGTGCAATTGTGCCAAGAAAGCCGTTCGCAAATCCAAGTTTAACAGCAACTCTAACGTCGTTGCTATGAAATCAAAACCACTACTAGGTACGCCTTGTATCGCAGGCGAACGATTCACGAAACTAAAGATAATGATTAGGCAGCGGTATGAGATACCCTTTTTACGAGACGTCCCTGCGTCCTTACATCGTTGCGCGTGAGTGGGTCGGAACGGAGGGATAATGTCTCGGGACGGAGACTGATGCTTGGTCCAGAGACGGTGTTGTACATATTGCTGTCACTTTTTCGGTGAGTAGCATATCTCTGACTGCGTTTGACGTGCATGAACAAACGCACAGATTTGTATGTGCATTCGAGTCACTATACATAGACAAGTCCCGTAAGTTGTCCTTGTGCTCTTTGCAGAACACCGGTCCTTATACATCATAGAGGGTTTCCCAAAGCTGGGGACACTCGATATTGTCCTGGGCTCAATATACGCAGCGATATGCGGGATGTATATATTCGGTATTATGGCGGTCTCGCTCGTGAGTGCTCGACTGTGTGGCGTTGCGCCACTGCAACCGCTAATCCAGCTATGTGCACACAGCAACGGATGTGGATGGCACGGATATATGCACCGTTGTCCATTGTGACCGCGCTGGCAACTGTAGGAACGGACCTATTCAGGGTCATCGTTGATTTCGTCCTCAAGGTGCATGCCTCGCGGTTGCGTGCCCTCTTGCAAGCGCTGATTGATTTCGTAGAACGAGCTCTTAGACGAGTGCGCCAAGATCGCTCAGAGCGATACAGACTTCAAGGTGCGTCATTCATTTCCCTGTGCATTCATGAATCCTCACGAGGGCACGTAGCGATTTGTCTTCTGGGGCCCGACGTTCGAAACGAAGCTGAACCAGTCCGAGGCAAGCACACGTAAGACGATTCCTGTCCTCGCATCCGCAGTGCGCTTACGTCCACGCGCAGACTGCCACAACGATTGGAATCTTCGCTCTTCCCTCGAGATCACCATATTCATCCTTGATGCTCGTACGTTTCGCTCTTCTTCCTCTCTTTCAGCCCTCGTCCTCGCCCCGCTGACGCACCTGCTCATCCCCTTGCAGTCGGGGTTGCCTTGAGCAGTTCGTTGGTCCTCGCCTGGGCATACCACCTGCACGAATCGGCTCGCCTTGAAATCGTCACGCGCCCCTCCGGCAGAGAGGACGCCTGTCTTGCACACTACAAGCCACCGTCGCTGGCGTACAACGGGTACAACAACGGCGGCGCGAAGCTGTACGGCGGTGCAAAGCCGTCGCTGTACTCCCAAGATGTCCCCAGGACCCTTGGAAAAAATGGAACGTACATCGCCGTTGCTAGAACGGACCCGTTCGAGGATTTAGAGGGTAATCACGGAGAGAAGGACGACATGAAGTGATGTCGTGGTGTGGGCCTGCCTTGTGTTATCGCTGCTTTCGTGTCTTGCTGTCTGAGTGCCTCATGCTTACAGTTTTGCTTCGCCTCCGGAAAATGTAGTTACAGTTACTAGTGTTTGCTGCGATCTTTGTACCCCACTCGGCCGTATGTTATATGTGCCTTCGTCTCTTTGGAACGTCATTATTGCCGTGTGGACATGTATATGCGGGCTACACAAACATTTATGGGCGTTTGGCACAGTGGTAGCGCGCACGCTTTGCATTCTAGTTTGTACTTGCGTGAGGTCGAGGGTTCAAACCCCTCAACGTCCAATTTTTTGGTTGTCGGTCAGACTTTCTGACCGCCAAGCTACTCTTTGTGTGTGTATGCTATGAGCTAGTGCGCTATCATAAGACCATGTCTTATAATTATTGGTCCGCCATCGGCTGTGCGCCCTCACGGCGGCATTTGAGTATGAACATCACGGTTTGGTGAGATAAGCTCACTGTCTGCTATGTTGGGACTTTGAATCGGACTGAGCAAACGAGTTCACCATGCCGGAGCCGAGTTTCAGAGGGCCTTGTCCAAGCCTTCTGCAAATGGAATGGAACCGCACACGTAATACAGCGAGAGCAACCCAAGATATGACATTACGTAGCGAATACACCTATGATCCTGAAAGCCGGTATGTTGCGCTCGTCCTCCTCGCCCATCAACTGGCACTCCACAAAGTGCGACCCCGCCGACACATGGCGGTCGATCATCTCCAGCCTGTAGCACCGGCGGCTCGTCAGTCAGCGGTCCCGGGGCAAGAGCAGAGCAGCGGGGCTTACGCAGGCGTCGGCTCCCCGATTTGCGCGGCGTTCTCGATTACGACGGCCCCCGCGTAGTTGTCGTCGACCCAGCACTCCACCGCACTCCCGAGGCGCACGTTGCTCGCCGGCTCCTTGACGTAGTACACGCCGACGTCGCCCGCGCTGGCGTGGATGCCCACGCGGAGCTTGCTCGTCGGCAGCGTCGTGTAGAAGTAGTGCGCGTGGGACGACAGGTCCGCAGAGCCTGGGCGCGGATGGTACGCCGCCCAGCCCGAGTCCGCGAACATCGAGAGCGGGAGCGGGTTGATGAGGTCGTTCGCGGACACGCACCACGGCGCGACCTCGATAAATGGGTGCGCCTCGAGGTCCGCGGGCCGCATGTTCAGTCGCATCGGGGGCACACGCAGGTTCTGATGCAGCGAAGGCCCCTTGGCGTTCGGGTTCGCCTCCGGGAACGGCGCGGCGTTGGGCTTCGCGTCACCTTCTGCGTCTAGTGGAGCATCCGCACCGCCTGCCGCGCCCTTGCGCTGCGCGACGCCGCCAAATAGCCCCCGGGCGTCGGTGGGTTGCTTGGCGTTGTTGTCAGCGAAGATGGGCACGGCGAGCGCAGGCAGGACCTCATGCGATACACCCGTTGCCGCACCCCAGGCTGCGCAAATCTGCGACTGGAAATATGAGATGAGCACGTCAGCGATAACCTCGTGTCCTGCTGGGTTTGCAAGGATCGGATCGACGTAGTACTGGTCGACAGATGAGGGATTGGACATGTAATCATGATATAGCAGTGGTTTGATACTGAAGGAACGTTCAGACCTTCGGTATGTGCTGCCGGAATACCTGGCACACACCTGATGTGAGGAACATCGTAGAATTGCGCTACCAGGCTATGCCAGTGGTCAGGGCCATTGAAGCCGTGCGCTTGGGTGATCTGCGGACTGAAGTGCCCGAGTATGAGGACTGCGGGCTGGTCTGGTCTGATTAGGATAGAACGGATGAGAAGCTCAAACTGCTCGATCGCTGCTTGGTCACTGCCAGGGGTCATTATACATCTGCCAACCTGGCAAGTTGAGATGCTTACTTGGCATCGTCCACGTCGAGCTCGACAATGACAAGGTCCGAGACGTCGGGTATATGGTGCGCGTTACAGAACGCGAAGTAGGCAGAGTTGGTGCGGCGCATGGCGCCGTTAGTGAGTTCGGACGCGGGATGGGGGAAGACACCATTCCACCAGTTGAAGAACCTGGACGGATAGCAATGCGGTGATAATGGGTCGTCACCTGCACCATGGCAAGCGGATACTGTAGGGAGATGATAATGAGTGGATAAGTTCACTATTCCTGGGAGAATTGGCGATGAAGTGTAAAGCCCAGTATTTGGCGCAGATCGCCTTCTTGCTGTCACATCACATTCGGCTAGGAATCAAGACATTCTCCCGTCTTACATTATGAAGCTTCCCCGAGAATACCAGACCAACATCCCGAAAACGTCCTAAATCTCTGCAATTGAGGAACTGGTGCTTACCTGAGCCACCAAGCACACTGATGGTTACTGGAAGGCCCGACAAGGCCTTGTTAATCACGCGCTGTATACGCGCCCCACTGCCCAAATGAAATCTGCTTTTTGAGAGCGCGACAGGGTCGTATTTCCCAGCTAGCTCGTCCCCAGGACCCAGTGCTGGACAGAACGAGAATGGCATTGCATCTTGGTCTGTGACGTTCAGGTAGTTCTTCGGCTTCAAGTCTGACGTTAATAGTCGATGCCGCGGAGAGCTATCGATGGGTAGAATAGAGCGAGTGAATAAGATTAAGACGAGAAAGAGCGCGAGGATGAGCCATATGCGGTTCGTGACACCCAAGCTTTTCTGGTTAAGACGCGACGGTGCCTTCTCCGAGTCGGAGCCCATGCGAGCTGAGCGGACAGGAGGAGCGATGTGTGCGTGAGCCTTGAGCGAGCGCCGCTGCATACACGAGCGACGGCGGCGGCAGGGTCGTCAGCGGAGAGGGGGAGGTGGTGGTGGTGGTCGGAAAGGAGGAGGACGGTCACGTCGCTGCCGCCGAGCCTAGCACGGCGTGTAATAGCCATCCTCGCTGATCTCTCGCTTCCGCCCTTGCCTCCTTCCCCCCACCCACCCGACGACCCGCTGGCCTCCCGCGCAAGTCTTAAACGACGACGGCGTGCAAAAGTATCGTGCACAACCTCTAATTCTACCTCGCGGAGGTATCAGTGCGGCACGGGCGCGTTACAGGACTTCGATCGTGTCTGCTGCCGAGCTTCTGCCATAGGTGGGTCTTCACCTCATTCCTAATACTCACAGTGGCATCATGCTGCATTCTAGACGTGTGAGACTATGCAGCTGAGAAGCAGCAATCCGCTCAAGCGACTGCCGACATGGGTCTCGCTCTCGGTCGGCATATTCGTCGGTCTATTCATAGCAAGACTGTTCACGTCTGAGGTGAGTGGCGAAGAATTCGCAGGCCGCATCTTGACTAGGTGGTCAGTCCCACATCTGCCCGCCCATTTGCAATATCTCGCGAATATTACAAATGGCACGTATATGAGAAGTAATTGGTGGTTCATAGCCGAGTCTCGTCTGCGGATATATTCCCGGTGCACACGAGGAACGGGACAAAGTTCGTCTTCTGCATGCGTTTGCCTGCAGAATTACCTTTCCCGCTCTCAGTACGGTCGTAAAACCTAGAGACTATACGTTTGTGTTGAGGGGATTGCTATGCTTCTTAGCAACTCAAGTAGGCAGCGCGCCTATGCCTACAAAGAATGTCTGCCCGCAGCGCATTGCCGATGACCTGCATATCAGCGTTCAGGTCAATTGGGTTGATGTTGCGGTATCGTCGGCTACGTTTGCTTTCTCTTACGGCGCACTCTTATGGACACTGTTGTGTACCGGCTCTTGCAAGTCCATTGCCAGGGTGAGATGTGCATTGTTCAGAGATATTGGGCTCTGCCATAGCCAAGACAGCTGGCCTGAGGCTTGACATGTCCATGGTGCTCATGGGTGACTATCTATCACTGGGCAGTCGTTGACGGAAGGTGCTGCCGCCGCCAACGGACCGTCGTCGCTCCTTTGTTTCTGCGGGTCAACTGCTTGGGCATATATATGATAGACAAGACCCCTGTCGATTTATGAAAGACATAATCTAGGTAGACTGTGTGTTTGCATTGAATTGCCCCTAATCGCCTCCTCATTCTAGTCATCTCCTTCGACCTGGAGATCAGGACATGCACCAGTAGCACCCCATGCCTCACGGACACGGCAATCCATCACTCTCCCCACCCTCGAACAGCGCTTCCGCGTCCTCGAGCTGCTCACGTCCCTCTCCCCACACTATACGAAAGAATGTACGCGGAACGCGCAGTCCATGTACAAGGAGCAGGCCGAGGAGCGCTACACGTCCCTCATCGGCCACGAGTCGCCCTCACGCAGCTCCTGGCTGGACACACTCGGGCTCGGCGGCGGCCTCGAGGGCGACTTCGTGCCCCCGTCGCGGCACAGCCTGGCGCCGGAAAACCACAAGTACTTCTTCGCGATCAACCTGTACAACTCGTTCGACGTCATCCCGGACCTCTTCGCGACGCTCTTCCGCGTCGCCGCGATCCTCGGCTACCACAACGTGTACGTGTCGATCTACGAGAACGGGTCCTCGGACCAGACGAAGGCGCTCCTGCGCATCTTCGACGCGCTCTGCCAGAGCGTCGGCATGCGCGTCACGATTCGCACGTCGATGCGCACGCGCGGCGCGTTCAACCACCGCATCGAGTATCTCGCCGAGGTGCGCAACGCCGCGTTCGGGCCCCTGCACGAGCTGCGCGCCGCGGAAAACGAGTACTTCGACACGATCGTCTTCATGAACGACGTCCTGCCCTGCGTCGACGACCTCCTCGAGCTCATCTGGCAGAGCCGCCACAATAACGCGGGCATCACCTGCGCCGCGGACTATATGTACCACGAGGAGCTCGTGCGTGCCGTCTCCTCTCTCAATTGGATGTCTGACCACGCTGACGTGGACGCGCGCAGGGTTCACCCGTGTTCTATGATAACTGGGTCGCGCGCGACATCAACGGCACCGCGCTTGAGAACGCGCCGTTCGAGTCCATCTTCCATCACGGCGCGTCGCAGGACCGGTTCCAGCGGCACCTCCCGATTCAGGTGCAGTCCTGCTGGAACGGCATCGCGATCCTCGATCCCGCACCATTCTATGCGCCGCCGCACGTGCGCTTCCGTATGGCGCGCATCACCGACGGCGAGTGCTCCGCTAGCGAGTGCAGCCTGATCTGCAACGACTATTGGGAGGCGGGCTACGGCCGCATCCTGATGGTGCCGAGGGTCAAGCTCGCATACGATTCGGTATGTCGTTCGTGTGATCACGCTCCTAGTCTACTAGCGCACTTGTCTGATCCGTTCGCGCCTTACAGAGAGTGTACGACATTATCCACCCAGGGCGGCGAAATCTGACCGCCATTCGGGGATACGTTCGACTCGGCGGCTTGCCCGATAACCCAAGGACGGACCCGCAAGACCGTGCATGGTTCGGACCTCACGACCGCCTCTTCACCGATGAGGAGAGTATACCAATAGACTTTGTGCCAGGGCCGGAGTATGGTAAGTACTGCATCCTCGACATAAGTATGCTGTTCGCTAAAGCGTTGCCAGTGTGGTGTTGGGGCTGGGATGGTGCTGGCGACCTGGATGGGCCAGATGTAGACCCAATATGGGAGCATATGCCCAACAAGTCGATCAGTGCAGATGCTGTGAGAGTCAGACATGATCGCAGGATGAACTTGCTGTAATCCATGTTGTTGCGTAACGCTTGGTTTTTTTGGGGATTGAGTGTGTGACTGTAACATCTCACCTATATACCGTTAGGAGCGTAGTGGTTTCGCTCACGATGCTGTCATTCGTTTCACACGACATAGCATATGGCAATAGGGCAGCGTAGAACGTAAAAAATGCATTGCATGGCGGCCATGAGGATGGCCCCGCGCCGGCCAAAGCGAAGAGACCCGACGACCTTCCTCCCAATCAATATGGTCAAGACGGCGTTCACTCGGCCTCCACGACGACCGTCTCCAGACCCTGAATGTGGATAGTAATGTAAACGGCTAGCGCATGCGAACCGATGGACTTGCACGCACCTTGAACGACTCGACGACGACATGGCTAGCATATGTGTACAGCTTCTCCTTCGCGTTCTCGTCATCATTACGCTTGCCTGTGTACCAGACCCACCATGAACATCACATAAGGGGTCAAGATTCAAGGGATGTGGAAAAGCTACGCACGCTCAAGCTTGACTCGTATTCTGTGCGGGACTGACTTGATTCCCCGTTCCCACAATGCCTGGTTGAGCTTGGGGTCAACACGGACATCTGCCGTGCCCATTGCCTTCTGTGCAAAGTCGACAACAGACTTGACAGCCCAGGGAGCGCGCTTCTTGAAGGAGCGGCCGTGCACACGCTTGTGCAGGTGGATGGTGTATTCGCGCGTCACGACATCTTGGAGGGCAGAGCGCGTCTTGCCGGCCTGAGAGGTTGCATGCAGAGCAGAGACAAGAACAACAACAGCAGGTGCGAGATGGTCCAAGCGAGACGGGACTCGGTCAAGACAAGAGTATTAGCAGCAGTTGGTTTTAACGCACCTTTTGGGTGTTGGACTTCGAGGGGGCCTAGGAACAGCGCCATCAGCACAACAGATAGGCAGGAGCGCAGCACAACGGCGTACCATGTCTTGAAGATGTCGGGGATCGGTGAGCGGGAGACGGACTACGGCGAGCAGCGATGTACGTACTTTGGGTCTGTTTGCCTCTGGTGGCGGGAAACAATAAAGTTTAGTGGCTTGAAGGTACTGTATAGCTGCGGCGATCAGCGGAATAATTGATGGGATGGGCCCACGTGGGCGTCTGCAGCGCCCAGAAAGGCAGGTGTTGTTGCGAGCCATGTGGCTGAACAATGGGCGGGTGCCCACAATGGGTTTCCCTTTCAACTGCACCCACAATTGCTTATCCCTTTTTATTCTTGTCCAGCGCATAATCGCACACTCGGCTGCCCATTGTTACCCGTGCCCGGTCTCGCGCCAGGAACGGGAACGATAGAGCGGAAATGATGCACGCTGTTGGCATACCCATTTCGGTCCAAGTGTTTGTTTTGCACATGCCTAGACTTTGGGCAAGCGAACATGGGAATCGGCGAAGGGCGTATAAAGGCCGTCGAGAGGCGAGTGAGCCCTAGCAACTCGCCTCCTGAGTCTCTTCGTTCGCTGCTGCACCCCCGCTTCGACCTTCGTCGTGCACCAGTGCCTCCGCTCTTTGCATCCCATACCCAACCGCCCGTCTAACACCATGCGCTTCTCGCTCGTCCTCATTGCCCTCTCTGGCGTCGTCGCCTCTGCATCCGCTATGTCTACCCGCGCGGGCATCTTTAAGCGCCAGTTCCCTAGTACGTCACTGCTGCGCGCTGCCTGATAGTCGATCCCGCCACTGACGTCGTGTCGTGCAGCATGCGCGGATTCGTGTCTCGCAAACGCCGACTTCGGTGATTGCAATGAGAGCGACGACAGCTGCCTGTGCAGGAACAGCGCCTTCGTCAACTCTGTCACGTCCTGCATCCAGACCTCCTGCACTGGCAGCGATATCGCGACGGCCGACGAAGACGCCCAACAACTGTGTCTCGCGGTCGTATGTCGCCCTTTCTTTGTGCTCGCGCACTCCGCCTGACTGCTTGCACCATAGGGCGTTACCCTATCTGCCTCGTCTGCCTCCGCCACCGCTACTTCCCCCAGCTCAACCTCCGCGACCTCCGCGACCTCCGCGTCAGCATCATCCTCGGCAACGTCAGTATCTTCTGTGTCTTGTTTCTGACACATGTTTCTCATCATTGTCCTTCTCTTCCTTCCCACAGCGGCGCCGCGAAGACAGGTGCCGCAATGACCCACGGCGTAAGCGCGATTGCGGGTCTAGTCGCGGTGGGCGCCGTTGCCTTCGCGCTCTAAATGCGGTCGTCCCCTTGTCCCCTTCCCTGCGAGAAGCCGAGCCCGAGCCTGTAGAACCCTTCTTCGTGAATCCGCGTGGGTAGATCCCGACGGGACGGCGATATCGCCCGCCAGGGGTTTATCTTATTCTTTGCTTGTGCTTCAAGTACCATACATACACTTTGGGCTATTCGCCGTGCCGCGCGGGACCTCTTTCTTCGCTACTGGGTACTACACATGTATCGTTATTGCTTCGCTTTCGGAACAGAATCTGATTTTCTCTCACGCGATCTCATGTGCATGCCCGTTGCAGTATGGGTAAATATCGAAGGTCCACGTGCGAGTTCTGGCACACCACATGAACATTGGTGACTGCCGGTATCTATGAGAATGTGTGCCTGGGACCTGGGTCTGTACCACTTATTGATGGACTGGGTGCTTACCGACCTGAGATAGGACTATGTTGCTCGAGGCCACTGAGTAGTCTCAATTCATACATATATTTGGTATATGGTTTGCTGGAAAGCATGCCAACTTTACTCTAACAATCATTCAGCAATAGGGGCTTCATGCTGTGACTTGGATTGTGTCAACCCAAATGAAAAATCAACCCGCACCAAAACACATGTGCTCATGAACGGATTCGTTGTGTTCCACAACACAGATGTTTACACCCTTGAGGCGTTTGTGATCTCATCCTCTCCGGACAGCTGTGAGAGTAGGATTGAAGATGTCATGTCCGGGAGATGCACAGGCGCAAAGGCTGCCTCACAGATGCAAACGCAATCTGGATTCAAAGCACGCCGCATCCACCGATCCATACTGGACATGCCGGCTTGCCTTCCGTGCCGCCCCCAATCTCGTCGAGGCGCTGCAGCACGTCCCAGCCGTCCTTCAGCGACCCGAAGACGACGTACTTGCCCGTCAGCTTGCCCAGCTTGGTCTCGTCGTCTGTGAGGACGACAAAGAACTGCGATGAGTTGGTGTTCTTCCCCGAGTTCGCCATGGCGAGCGAGCCTTTGCGCGCCTTCCGCTTCAGACCCTCCTTGTCGTCGTTGAACTTCCCGCCGTATATTGACTGACAGGAGTCGTCTCAGTCGGTCGCGCAAGTGTGTGCGCGGTCACGTACCTCGCCTCCACTCCCATCTCCTCGCGTCACGTCCCCTCCTTGCGCGACAAATCCCCTCACGATCCGGTGCACTGGGCAGTCCAGGTAGTGAAGCTTCTTATTCGGCGCGTTCTTGCACGCGCCCTTCTCGCCCGTACACAACGCACGGAAGTTGGCGGTGGTCTTGGCCAGCCCCGGCGACGGATCCAGCTCGAAGACCAGTCGACCCGCAAGCAGAGAGGGCGGAGGCAGAAAACGCATCTTCACCGAGCTCTGTAAACACCCATCAAGAATCGACCGGCGTGATGAGAGGGCTGCCGCCGCACGTCGATTTCCTGCAGGATATCCTGCTGTTCGTCAGAGAGGTCGGCAGGCGACTCTGGCAGGCCGTAGATGGCTGCATTTTTGGCGAGCAGTGCGGCTGTCGCGTCGTATTCCGCCTGCGTGCGAGCGTGCTCCTCGCGGTGGCCGACATAGATATCGAGGTAGACTGCTGCAAGGCTCATGGTGGGCGATCGTGATCGGGCTCAGGCCGGATCGATCACTGCTGCCTGCCTGTAAACGGTCACAGTGGCGACTCGCCATTGCTAAGTGGAGTCCGACTTCCTCAAGAAAAATAGCACAATAGACTCGGCTTTAGTAAATTTATCGATCCATTTCTGTCTTGTGGTGTTTCCCACTTTCGAATTTGTTGGCTTGGGCCTTCCTTGCTAAGGCGTCTTCCGAGTACACAGTACAGTTCCAGCCACTATAACACTATGTCTATGTTGTGGACCGTGGATTTCCCAATGTCACAAAGCTCGTCCTTGTCCGCGCATCATTGCTCTTGTATGACTGTACTGCAACCTGCTCCCTGATCAGTACCTGGGCGCGTACTCAACTACTTCGTGCGCACCTGGTAACCCGTACGCGTTGATGACATTGGAACACTTGTACGCCGGCTGGTCTCCGTTAAGTGGAGTGACGTTGATGTCTTCGAATACCATGCCGGGGCAGGGAGCGGCTGGGCTACATGCAAAGTCCACAACTGCCCATGTTTTCATTGTTAGCATGCTGTACATACTCGACGTGCGTGATACTCACTAGTGTTCCCAGTCGCCGTTCCAGTCCAGTTGGTGAAGGTGAGATTGGAAAATTGAAGTCGCGAAGGTGCGTCGCCGCTGCCACGCCATGTCAAACTGGATCCATCCCCTAGCGATAGCGCAAGACTGCTTACGGATGTCCGCTGCTCGTTTGGTACAACTCTATCGGGAGGGTGACGTTGTCCAGCACGACATTCCGCACTACGACATTTGTGACAAGACCTGCCAATACACTCGTGAGCCCCGCGTAGGAATCATGTTCTGATTCGCTCACCCAGCCCCCCTCCTCCATCGTCGGGAGGGAATCCGATCCTTGTGCCTGTCCATGACTTGAAGTATACCTGACTCAACCAAGCATAAGATCTGGTTCATCACACCTAAAAACAGCCCGAACCCACCCCTGCGCCCATATTTGGCTGAATACTGGGATCTATCCGCAGGATCTGAAGCAGTTTGTGAGTGAGCTCCTCGTTCTCAATCACATCGCTTACACGAAGATCCTCCAAGGTTACATTCTCTACGCGGTCAAACTTCTCCGACGTTAGCGCATCATCACGTCGGCGGCTAAACACATACGAGATCCGAGTATTGCCCCAACGACCCAATGGCGATGCCGTTGCCTCCATGGCAGGTGATGTTACGAGCGTATATGTTCGTAGAATTCTGAGTTCGTTCTGTTCGAGCGTAGCCCACGGGCGCACAGTCCAGTAAAAGACTTACACCCTTGATTGCTAAGCAATCGTCTCCGAGAGTCATCTGCACAGCTCATGTCAGATTATCAGCTGCTCGCAAACAACAAGCCAGCGACGAACATCAAAGTTCAGCAGAGACACATTGTCCGAGCGGAAAGTGTCGATTCCTACAGAAGACGGGGTCAATCGTCTGTCAACGTATATGCAGACTTCCCCTCTGACCATCAGTGTTGGGCACGAGGCTGTCCGTATTGTTGAGCGCGACTTCGGAAGAGGTCTAACGGCAAGGACTCACTTGTCATGGAAATATTCCGGATTGGTGTTCGTAGCATTGCAATACATGCCGTCATACACGACGTCCTGCGATTCCGACAGCGCGTTGCACCAGAACGGCTGTCCCTCAATTCTGAAATTGGCGATCGTCCCTCTCAAGACGTGCCACAATGACAGAGCCACTGGGCGCCCGTCGCCCCCCAGCCTGCTCGAGGTGCCGTACCAGTCCCACCAGTATTGTCCGTTGCCGATGATCCCTCCGGTGTTGTGAGCGTCCACGACGAAGTCGCGTCCGGTGATCACGAACCACGACGACTGGCTCTGTCAATGAAGGGTTGGCGCTCGTATAACCAGGACGACCACGAGAACCAGATACCTGGATGACGATGACCCTATATGTATGATCGGGATCCATCCAATAGGGTAGATCCGCCTTGAACTTGGGTTCGTATGATGTCAGTGTTACAGCTGCCAAGAGGCAAGAGGCAAGTGCTGTGCACACACATTTAGATAACCATGCAGCTCCACTCGCGATTCGACCAGATCCCACAGCAACTTTCTTACACACAAAGTTACGTCAAGCCACGCAGACCAGAAATTGCATAGGGCTTCTCACCTCGTGATATTGTATTCGCCAGGCGCGAATACGGTAGTGCCATAATGTCCGCATTGTGCGATGGCAGCTTCCACCTGACGCAAGGCATCAGCATTGGCAGCAGGGACAACTCCCAATCTGACCTGGTCCGTGTCATCGAAGCCGCTCCCTAGCGGCTGGAGCGAACAGACATTGGCACTTGTGTGTTTCCCAAGATTGGCGTATGCTGCGATGGCCCGAGGAACAGCCCACAACAGGAAGCACAGGACGCCAAGCATCGTTGGCGAAGGAAACACCCACTGCATTTTGCTGACAACATTTTTTCTTTATGAGCGCGGATCGGCAACAGGGCCCGCCAAGGAGGGATTTGAGTGGTTGCAGGGAACGGTCAACCCCGGTCCGGCGGTCCTGCACCACAGCATACCCAGCGAGCAGAGTCGAAGAAGGCACGATTGCGCAAGCTCGAAGCCTCAACTCGTCTAGCTCATACTGCACAATGCCGGCAGTCGATGACGACAGCGCAACAGCGGCATGTGGTCCCAGCCGAGAGTCGCCATCAGAAATCCGAGTAGGAAATGTCAGGCCGCACGCATGGTACATGCTTCCAACGTCGCATTCATTCGTAACGCGTACACAAGTCCTGACGTTCAGGACTGATCGTATCGAGCCGAAACACGTGAATAACTAATATTGCGTGGTTGCGTTGCATTCTGTTGGGCGTTGAGCGAGTCAGCAAGTAGCACACGCTGAGCGGATACACATACCTGACAGCCCTCGCTCACTGACAACGTTTGAACATTGGTAGGTCGGCGGCTTGCCATTAAGTGCGGTGATATTGATGTCGCTGAACACCATGCCGGGGCACGGTGCCGCCGGGCTGCACGCGATATCGACGACTGATGCACATCACAAAGAGTGCTTTTTGAGAGACAACGCGTGATCACTCACTTGTATTGCCTGACGTTGTACCGGTGAAGTTCACAAACGTCAAGTTCGCGAATTGGAGCTGTGATGGTGCATTGCCTCTGGGACTTCTCAGTCAACTCAGGAGAATCAGATGCAGAGCGAAGGGTGCTCACGGAAGGCCTCCGTTCGTTTGGTACAGCTGAATCGGAAGAGAGACGTTATCCAGTATCACATTTCGAGCGGTAATATTGGTGACAAGACCTATCGCGCACGCAGACTAAGCACAAGGGACTGATCCTCGGTATCGAATCCAGGCTCACCAGGTCCGCCACCACCATCATCTGGAGGAAAGCCGATGACTGTCGCAGTCCAGGACTTGAAGTATACCTTGATCTACTAAGTTTTGTGCATTGACGTCTCTCACCAAGGGGGACCTACTCCTGTACCCATGTTGGGCTGTATTTTAGGGTCCAGACGGACCATCTATCGCATATGATAAGTCGCTGAAGAACCTGTGCATGGCGTGACTCACATGTAAATCCTCCAAGGTGACGTTCTCAACATGGTCGAACTGCTGTCATCAGTGTCCCTGCGGCCTGCTGCAAGGATACGACGCGTACCAAGTTCCAGTACTGTCCCAACGACCCAAAAGCAATCCCATTTCCCCCGCGGCAGGTGATATTCTGCGCATAGATATTGGTGGAGTTCTAACGACCCAATATTAAATCAGTCAAATTGATTTCCACGTGCATTTGTCATCGGCTCACGTACACCCTTGATAGCTAAGCAGTCGTCTCCCAGCGTGATCTAAAAGGGCATGTCAAAAGCCTATTGCTTGCGACGTGGGGACGACACACATCGAAGTTCAGCAGCGAAACATTGTCCGATCGGAAGGTGTCAATGCCTACATGGAAGCAGAACAGCTTAGCGGTTGCCTTCGTAGGCTGGTCTGCAAAAGAACGGGCCTCACCATCCGTGTTGGGCACAACACTACCGCGCGTCTGATGGTCAACGCGATAACGGCAAATGTAGAGTTAGGACGCCCACTTGTCATAGAAGTACTCAGGGTTTGTGTTTGTGGCGTTGCAATACATGCCGTCGTACACGACATCATGTGATTCTGCTATCGCGTTGCACCAGAAGGGTTGACCCTCAATCCTGAAATTCGCAATCGTCCCCCGGCTCGCTCGGTATAACGTGAGTGCGACAGGGCGTCCATCGCCATCGAGGCGGCTCGCGGTGCCATACCAGTTCCACCAGTACTGGCCGTTGCCGATGATTCCGCCGGTATTATGGGCATCGACGACGAAGTCGTGTCCGGTGATGACGAACCAGGATGCTTGACTCTATTTCAATGATGGTCAGCGTGAGATGATCGAGCGAGGACTGATGGATGACCTGGATGAAGATGACCCTGTATGTATTTTCGGGATTCATCCAGTAGGGTAGATCCGCCTTGAACTGGAGATGACCGATGGAGTTGAAGTCACCGGGCATTTGAGCGTCATTGGGCGGTCACATACGTTCAGATACCCATGTAGGTCGACTCTAGACTCTACGAGATCCCAGGACATCTTCCTATTGACGTGCGAGGTTCATTCTTCCGTCGTACTGTTATCTCGAAACTGCTCACCTGGTGATGTTGTATTCGCCGGGGGCAAACACCGTGGTCCCATAGTGTCCGCATTGTGCGATAGCCGCTTCGACCTGATAAGACGTTAGCCAAGGCGGGAAGGGCAATGTCGGTTTTACCTGGTCTGTATCATCTTGGCCCTCTCCGAGAGGCTGGATGTCACAGATATTGGTGGCACCTCGCGTTGCAGGTATAGCCCGCGCGCCTAGGATACAGTACGCGGAATACAGCGCGATGTATGCTACCGTCAACATGATCCTGCACTGCTGGGGTGGCACTGTTCATAGCGTTGTTGGAGCGTGCTCTTTTGTAATGGGCTCCTCGAGCGTACAGAGGGGGTCACCGTTCACGGAGAGAACGGCAGGTGATCATGAGGAGCATGGTACAAACTCATAAGACTGATCATAAGCATACGCCACGGGCCGGATGCGCAACCTACTGAAGTTCAAATGATCACAATTTTCCTGTATTTTCGCACCAACGGATGAACGACACGGTGCGGAGGGTGCATGATGAGCGTGGTGGATAAGCAAATTATGGGGTCTGCTGACGCCGACAACATCTGACGAGGAAAGTATCGAGTTGCCGGGCCGAGGTCTCCTGCATCTTGGCGACACAGACACATTCTCTGGTCCCATGTCTTGGTAAAGAAAAGGCAAAACACCTCAAATATCGTCACATACGAGTCCATGTCGATGACGGGCAGAAAAATGGACAATCAGGGGATTGAACCCTGGACCTCACGCAGACTCAAGCGATAATCGCAAGACACATGCGAAGCGTGCGCGCTACCACTGTGCCAATTGCCCATTATATCTCCAGCGCCTAATGTCATTCATAGACAGTTGCATGCTCCCGTGGCCAATTACCTTATTGACAACTACTGTCAACGGCATAAGGTGGAAACGGAGTAAAACGAAATTGCCCAGCCCTAAAATTCGGAGGGGTCCAGGTCGAATTTAGTGTCAGTATTGCAGAGCTTCTGGACTATGTCTGAATAGGCGTCAAGGTGCGCTAGGAGGGTTCATGGAGTACCTCGTCATCTCGTCTAGAGATATCCATGCAGTCCCGAATCTTCGTGCGAGCGGCGTTAAAGCTTATCCTCTGCTCATCCCGCCGGGTCTTGGACGCCTGACTATAAGAGCGGATGGGGATAATTTGACTATAATGGATCGTATGCAGCTCTGGTCAAGGCCGACTGGAGCTATAGTGGGGGGCCTGCAGTTAGAAGGTGCGAAAACATATTATCATTGTGCAATGAAGCGGCTGAAATGTAGTTACATGTTAGAGCTAGCCCACATCGCCTAGCCTGACATGCAGAGGATGGGGTAGGTCAAATCGAGTGCTGGACATCTGGCGTATCCATGAGACCTGCTAGCAACTGTCCTTCGAGTGCCTCCAACGAGTACGCACATGACATCTTGCCATAGCAAGGAATTGACGATGATCTTTACCCAAGCAACGCGGTTTGGGGAAGTACTAAGACGGACGGAGATAGGCCAGCCTGGATGCACGTTCCCGCCCTGACTCCCCCCGATCAGCACTCATGATTCCGACCCATGGTGCAGCGCTCGTTCGCCTAAAGATAGGCACCCGAGAAACCATACGCAGAGGCACGGCGACCGAAATGTGAGATCTTTGCGAAAAATGACGGGCGTGCAGAGCTGCCCTGATGACTGTCCGCAGCCAATCGCAGCAAGCCCATTACACACAGCTGGCAGGCCAACCGCAGGAGACGGCATGGAGTCTGTTGTGGGTGCTCGTGGTAGTGCACAGGGTGCGCGAGCGTGTCTGCCAATCACACGCCGTTCATTCCGTGAGCAAATGAGGGCCACGCACGTGATCATATATCTCAGCCGCGCTCCACTTCCTCGGATTCTCTGTCTCACATCCGCATTGGTTACGACACCCCCCTGCCGCTCCTCCTCCCTCTTAATTCCGTCTCTACGCTCTCTCGCCACACGCCCTCCTCTTCTCTTTGCACACCATGTCCTCAGATCCGACCTCTGCACCCTCCGTGCCCCTTCCGAGTCGTCAGAACGGCGACAGTGGCGGCAAGCCACCCGTTTGGCCCATCAATCATACCTCTGGAGGCGAAGTCCCCCCAGCCTCAAAATGTGACAGACACGAGCCAGGTCGAGAGGGTGTCTGCTGCAAGGAGCTGGTTGACGAGGACGACCGCACACTGATCGACCCAGACGTTGTCCGGGATGTGTAAGTGCCTCCCACTTGTTCCCAGTATCAATGGCACTATTCCCAGAGACCCAACTTCTGCCTCATGTCAATACGAGTTGCATCCGCCATAGCTACGTGAGAATTGGGAGCATCACATGGCAGGTGTTTGGTCTCTGATCGCAGTATTGTGCCATCGCCTTCACTGGGTTTCTACATTTCAAACACGTCTAACATTCGTGCTAGTGTCATTGGTCTTTCTGACGGACTCACAGTCCCATTCGCTCTCACTGCCGGCCTCTCTTCCCTGGGAGAGTCGAAACTCGTTATCCTCGGCGGCATTGCCGAACTCATTGCCGGAGCCATTTCAATGGGAATCGGCGGCTTCCTCGCTTCGCAGGCCGAGCGGGACCACTATCGATACCTCCGGAAACAGACGCGCTCGCGCGTACTTCGGAGCTGCGAGGGCGAGATGGAGCGGGAAGTGCATGCCGTCCTCGCGCCCGTTGGTGTCGACGAGAAAACCAGCCACGCGGTCGCGCGGTGTCTGATGAACGTGGAAGTCGACTCGGCGGGCGAGGGCCCGAGCGGAAGCGACACGGAGAGCCGGATGAGTAGAGCGAGTAGAAGCGACTCCGAGTCCGGCCTGCGGTGGAGCAGCAGCGTTGGTCTCTCTGCATTCCTGCTCAAGTTTGGTGAGGGCCTGGAGGAGGTCCCTACGCGGCGGCTGTACATCTCCGCATTCACCATCGGCATGGGTTACTTCCTCGGAGGCCTCATCCCTCTCCTGCCATACTTCTTCGGTATGTGCCCATCTGTATTCCTGTTTCATCCGGAAACTGATTGCTTGTGTACAGAACCGATTGCACATATTGCGCTTGTCTACTCTTGTATTGTTACGGGGATCATTCTGCTCATCTTCGGTGCAGTGAAGGCCCGCATCACCGGTGCCGCTGGCCGCGGCATCGGCGAGTATGTCTGGGGCGCGGTCAGCACATTGCTGGTAGGTGGCGCTGCAGCGGGAGCCGCGTATGGCATTGTCGCAGCGCTGGAAGGATAACCTGATGGCATGGGTATGTGGGACGATCAGTACTCTGTCCTCGTTTAGTGTATTCTATGGTCGTATTCTACTTCGTAACAACACTCTGTTATAGATATTGCGCCTTCCTGCACTCGGAAGAACATGTACTGCTGGAGTCCCTGGTGATTCCAATATAATATGCCTTCAAGTTTGTCAACGGGCAATTGGCACAGTGGTAGCGCGCACGCTTCGCATGTTGTGCTTGCGTGAGGTCCAGGGTTCAATCCCCTGATTGTCCACTTTTTGGGTTCCTAGATTCTGTTTATTTAATCACGTGCAGTGGCGTTGCCACGAGCGCGTGCGGTGATCAATAGTGTGTACTTATTCGATGTCGCGTCGGCCAGTTGTCTCGTTACTGAATTTATTCGATAGAACCGTCCGCGGTTCGCAGCTTTCTGATGTAAGGACTACCGAAGTTAGAGAAACAACAGCACCCGAAGACACCGTTGTGAGTGCACAAGTAACTGAATTTGGTGTTCCCCGAGACGATGATTGTACAAGATCAGAGTCCGGATCCCGGAAAGACATTATGACCGCGGAGGAACGTACAGTCTCAGTTGCGGACTAGTCGTTTTTGTATAATGAACGGGAGGAACACAGCATTTTCAAGGTAATAACATCTTCAAGTCATGTCTCCACGTCTCCACGAAATGCTGGGTCTTATAAGTTACCAGTGAGGAACTTGGCCGCGTTGTGATACATTACTGTATTCTTGATCCTCACCTGATATCGTTCTCCATTCCTCTGACTCTGTATCTGGGACCACGGCTCAGGACTGCCATGTCAAGCATCGGGCATCGGGATTCCAGAACGGGGACTTACCGTGGCGTCCAGGACGAATGCCCGCCGTACAAGGCATTACGGAATCACCCCCAAAGACGCAGTATGGTCCATGTTCCTTGGAACGATATTATGAAACCACATGCCCGAGTACCGCACTGGAAGGAGATAGAATTTGCGAATACGTCGCCAGTAGCGCCGTTGTCCCAGCGCATTGTATGAATACCGGTATCCGCTTCGAAGATGTTGAGTCCAGGTGAGTCCTTACCAGTGTTTTGGAGTAGAAGTACCCTGTTATTAATCGACGCGTGTTCTTGATGTCTCAGCGCTACACCGGTGCTATGGACACTGGTGTAGAGAGCATAAGCCCGTCCGACGAGGTTACACCTGGCTCAAATATGGGGACCGCTCAGTCAACGTTAAGTCACACGACAGGGACCAGACGCTCTGCCGTCTCGCGTACGTTGCAGGAACCGGTAGTCAGGGTTCCAACCCTATCAGAAGATCTGCTTACGATGCGGTAGGGAATATTCTGGCCCTCCACAAAGCCCGCAATGGCAGAGCAGCTCCCGAAAATAGAACAGTGTATTGCACCTATGCACACGTTCGTCTGCCACTGCAGTTCGTGCTTACAGCTTGGTATGTGCAAACGCTCAAAGCCGCCCTGACCTGCCCTGATATCCGCCAGTGTCGGCGATGTGGCGGCCTCATGGTCGATGGCGATGTCTGGTAGACATGGGTGCTGGGGTTCTCGGTACGGTCAATTTCCTTCTCCATCACATCGAAGACGTTTCGTGGGCAAACGAAGTGCTTTCTACCTCACATGGCTCGGTGACTGTCTTTACCCCGGGTTCACGTACAGGGTTGACGTTATGGCTTGCTTCGCGGAAATCTCTGTCTTAAGCTGGCATGGAGCCCGAGACACTGGCAACTGGTACCCTTGTGCTGTTCTCGATGCCCCCCTCGCCATCTTCAGCGTCATCTATGCCCCTTCCCAGTCGCGACCGGGAGGGTGGTACCAAGCCGTCGGTCTCCAAGCCGTCGGTCTGGTCCATCGACCATACCTCGGGGAACACGGCGTCACCTATGGCACAGTGTGATCGAGACGAGCCATGGCGAGAAGGCAAATGCTGTAAAGAATTTATCGGTGACGACGACGGTCGCACCCTCATGAATCCAGACGTCGTCCGGGATGTGTATGTATATTATCCTGTTCGCTCCATGGCCAACTTCATTGGCTGATCGCATGTCGTTAGCGTCATCGGCATATCCGACGGCCTCACAGTCCCATTCGCGTTAGCGGCTGGTCTTTCCTCCTTGGGCGAATCGAAAATCGTCATTCTCGCAGGCATCGCCGAGCTGATTGCTGGAGCGATCTCAATGGGAATTGGCGGTTTCCTCGCTTCGCAGGCTGAGCGGGACCACTACCACTACTTGCAAAAACAGACACGGGCTCGCGTTATGCGGAGCTGCGAGGGCGAAATGCGGCGTGAGGTGCACGCCGTGCTCGGCCCCGTCGGTGTCGACGAGAAGGCCAGCTGCGCCGTCGCGCTTTGTCTGATGAAAGCAGAGGCGGACGCACCGCCCGAGGACACCAGCCAGAGGGACGTGGGAAGCAGGTCCAGCTGGTCTAGCTGGACGAGCACGACCATATCGAACGATTCCGAGTCCTGCTTACGATGGAGCACGGATGTGGGATTGTCGGCCTTTTTGCTGAAGTTCGGGGAAGGTCTGGAGGAGGTATCCACGCGCCGGATGTATGTCTCTGCCCTCACGATCGGCATGGGCTACTTCGTTGGTGGTATCATTCCACTCATGCCTTACGTCTTCGGTGAGCTCCCCTCCATCTGCATCGCTGCAGGCAAAGTGTTGACATCGATGTTCTCTGTCCTACAGAGCCGGTTGCGCAAATCGCTTTGATGTACTCGTGTATTGTCACCGGTATTATCCTCCTTATTTTCGGCCTCGTTAAGGCGCGTATGACGGGTGCGACTGGACACGCAGGCTACATATGGGGTGCAATTACCACGTTGCTCGTGGGTGGTGCAGCCGCAGCGGCCGCATATGGTATCGTTGCGGTGCTCGAAGGTTGATGCTTGATTAAAGTGGCTAGATCAGACGGCTTATACAACTACAATGACTATCACCCTGCAATGTATTTTTATCGGATTCATCCTTATAGCCCCATGTACAGTCAACGATTAACCGCTATTTCAGGAGTGCTCATCCCAGAATTATATTCTCATATCCCAGAGCCCACATCCGAACTTACTGGGGCTTAGGCATATGGTGGGCCTGCATGCAGCCTTGAAGCATGCGCACTAACATCTACGTCGGACTCCGTTCATTCTTGTCGCAAATTTGATTACGAATCCATGGTACTTCAGACGTGCACATTCGTGGCAACTGTCCTCGAACGTAAATCCGACCCAGCTGGTACGGGTCGAGATAGTTCGTACCTGAGACTAGTCTCTGCCCAGTGCGCACAAGTGATAAAAGAGACGAGGCACTCATTCAAACAAGAGTTGCTTAACTGACGTAGTCCGAGCTGATGCATCGATGAGTAGAAGATATGCTGGGCTTTCACCTTCAAGGTTTCGCCGAACGTGGCGCGCCTCTCGCAATACCGACCAACGATTGCAACAGTCATGATGCGGGACACGATTTCGTACAAGCATTCCGCATCCTAATATGCAGCCACCCTAGCGACCGGGGTCCACCATCATGTTACCACTATGCGCCATGTGCCATCATGTAGCAGTGTATACACTAGAGAAGTCTACGTAATCCCAATAAATGTCCAGAAAACACAAGGAAATTAATCTCTATAGCGACATTGTTTGAGCAACCCGGTCGTCCGCAAATAATCGCGCATACTCGAGACATAATCGATAGACATATGCTGGGAGGACAGTCAGTATAGGAAACAACAAGGTGCGAAAACATCCGACACACCTTCCATGTCTACGCGCCTGCCAATTGTCCTTTTCCATTGCTTCCCAGCGCGGGCAATACGCCTTAGGCGGCGGTCGCCGTCGATCGTGTGCCTTTCTAACGGAGACACTTCCAGAGCAGTCGAGTTGACTGCTTGCAGAGTCGATGACGTCGCGCCGGAGAAGAATGCGTGGATGTTGTAGATCTCCTGGTACGACTGTGATAGGGGAATGTAATGCAGCCTGGATGCAGGGTAGTGAGCAACGCGCATTTTGTATCGTGTGAGGTATCACAATTTACCATGGCTGGATCCATTCGTCGAAGAACTCGCGATATACGGTCGACTTGACCACCGCACTGTCCGATTCCATGAACGAGAAGAACCGGCCGGAATAGCCCATCCCGTCGACGTCGACGATGTACTTGTTCCGCCAGTGGTCGCCTAGGTTCACGCCGCCGTCGTCGAAGCGATGCGCTCTGATCAGCGCGTCAAGGCCGCCGGGAAAATTGTACCAGTCAACGACCTTCACAAATGCAACATCCATGATGTCGTCGTTGAGCCTAGCCACGGGGACCTCGGCGTATATGTAGTTTGTCGAGCCCGGCGGATCAGCGAAGACGATCGTGCGGTTGGTGTTCGACGTGTCACTAGCCATGCGCACTAAGCTATGGTGAGGAGAGATTAGGACCTTCGTTCGTTATAAAGAGAGTGAACCACACCGATGCCGTTGGTATTGCGCAGCGAAGCCCGGAGGAGAGCTACCGCCTCCGGTGGAAGCACCTCGCCAGAAGATCTTGTCCTTCTTTTGTTCCCATGATGTCTCCATATGATCCACCTCTTTCAACTCCAAGTTCACTGGGTCGTAGCCATACGTGTAGCGCCTTGTCTGGCCATAATAGTAATGACTGGGGATGCGGATATCCGAGTACCCCGGCGCCTTGGCAGGTGAGAAGATGGGGAAGAGTACGGCGATCGTGCGCCAGTCCGAGAAGAAATGGCCCTGATTGTAGTGCGCCCACGGGTTTGCACAGAATGAATAGTTCCCGCTCACATCGGACGCGAAGACGAACTCCTGCGTGCGCGCCGTGAGCTGTGAGGTGCGATTCGTTGAGGACGCGCGGAATGACGAGAATAGGCGACGCGCGGGGCTCCCTGGTTCACATGTGCGGCGGTATGCTTCCCAGACATTCCCTTCACCCCGCCAGTCTGGTGCATACTGCCCACTGAGTTCTGCCTGCATGGCATCTGCACATCTGAACTTGAGATAGACCATAATTTAGAGAGACTCCATACGCTCACCCGTTCCAGCTTGTACGGTGAAGTTAGGAGATGCGTGCTGCTCCCAGGGTACTAGTATCCGCCCTTCGGCCATGGCATTGATTGGGAAATCTAGATCAGGAAGCTGAAGACAAGGTCCGTGCCTGAAGGGAATCGCCTGGAATGTCCACACTCACTTTGTCCTGGAACTTCTCGATCATGCGCAGGAAGCCTCGCGACCGTGCACTGACGTCGGACCCACTGAGGCCATCTTTGATATTGACCGCACTCGCCTTGCCGTCACGTATCCTGACCAGGTCAACAGAGGGTAGGTGTCCCGCCTTTGGGATGCGTTCAGCTGATTGCTAGGCTAGGGGGAAGAGAACGTGCTCACCAGCGCTGCTCGCTGACGTAGTTCAGCCCCCGACAGCGGCCAAAACGGTGCCAAGTCCTCCGCTATGCTATCATACTCGTCTATCATGACAACATCGTTGTCCTTCGCGAATTGCCACCAGTTCTCAAACCCTTGAGGTGGGCTTCTGCCATACCGCCGCTGGTACTCCGCGACTGCCTCCTCGAGTGTCTTGCTCTGCCTGGAGAGGAGATTGCGGAAATTGGCCTCAGCTTCCGCCATGAGCTTAGGGATAGGGTGCTCCTTGAGCATAGGCCGCCCATTACTCCGTCCGAAAGGAATGAGGTTTGAAGCACTACTAATGAGCGAGTTGTCCGGGAAGTTTGTGTTGCGTCGTCTGCCGGCCCACAAGCCACTCTGAGTAAAGACTACGATGACGGCCAGCAAGAAGAGCAAGCCCGTCCTATGCCCAGAGAGACCATTGTACATGTTTGAGACAAGAGAACACACAGCCGCGCACTGTCACGGTTTTGGCGCTGCTGCTCAGCGATCTCAACGCTAGTGATTCCTTCTGTCCGAGTAGATTCCAGTGCCCCTAATGGTAGAATTATTCTCCTGGGTCTGTGAATTCGCAGAATGCAATGAGACGACGTTGGAGTATGACAGTGATGCCGGTGGTGAGATGGCCCTTCCTGTAGCGAGCGCCTCTTGGCCAACAGCTGCATTTCCGCATCGAGCCTCATTCCAACTCTGCAGAGAACGCCTATGTCTCACAATTACTCAATAATCATTCGTGTGGCCGTGCAAGGCTCAGGGACATCGTATGCACTTTGACGCGTCCCCGTAGACCAGAAAGGAGCTCTACCTGCTACAATTGGAAACTACGGCTGAAAGCGTATGTTCTTCGTGCACATGTCTTGCTTTGATTCTTCGTTGGTCTCACTTGATCCAAATGTTTAGGTTTGACTTCTCTAAGATACGAAACAATTGAATTATCACCGACTCAACTACTCTGACTCGGAGAAATGGTCGAGAATTGCGTACGTAGCAACCAATGTACACGACTAACAATCCGATTGAAGTTGTGTCGCACTGGTTTCGCATGTTTCGTGGACCATACACCTGTTCGTCGCCGCCACCAGGCGGATGGCGTCTCCGATGCAGCGATGTTTATGCTGTCGCCGGTAACGGGAGCCTTCGGATGTGATGGTGCCGCATGTGTACACGCTATGTCAACATTTCCTTCCCCAACGCTCGCGAGAGGGTTGCGTGTGCAAAGGCTATGAAGGTCGTCTGCGCGGGCGGAGCGGATAATTCTAGGATGAATGCACTCAGTACGCAGTCTCAGCGGGCACTGGCTCCGAGACTCACTGGGCGATCGTGGATCTTTCCTCTAGGAACCCGCGTGGATCACAGGGCTCGCCGCCCTCCTCCAGTACCAGTGATATCCTGACAAGTGGTATGGTTTCCTCGTCTAAGTCCGTATTGACGCGCGCAGGAGCTGCAGCCAATGTCTCGCAGACATCGTCAGAATGAATTGAGTATTCCGAGGCGGTATCTTGGTCGTTGTCGTCGTCAGTAGGAATATCGCTCGGGCCGTCCAGCCACTCGTCTGATCCGACTGACGTGATTGTATCGTCGTCGATAGCTTGATCCACTCCGAATACCCGCAGGTAGTTGATATGGGCGTGCTTGTCGCGTGAATCCATCGGTTCTTGACGAATTCCTGTGCAGTCATGGTTTCTGCATATGGTCATATAAGGCTCCATGGGCTCGGGAATTAACTCGTCGCATTCTAGGATGACTTCCAACTGGTTTTGCTTGAAGTCCTTGTGTATGGCGGAGCACCGAACCGTGCTTAAAGGTGGGTGTGATGTGGAGGATTGAAACCTATGTGGTCTCTGGAATGCAGTGGACTCCTGTGACTCCACTACAGTCTCCAGCCGCTTCTTCTTAATGACTAGAGGCATGATAGGCATTATCCAATCGCGGAGCCGGTCGGTAGAGTCGATCGACCTCATGGATGAGGTCGAGGTGCCCTCGTCGGATTCGCATATGGACTCGAGATGATCCGTCCGGGCTTCTGTAGTCATGACACGGCTGGTGAGCGGTCAATTGACTGATAATGAACTGCACGGGTGCCTTCACCTTTGCTATTCCTCCTACGTGCACGACGCCTAGCCCAGTCATGGTGCAGGCTACCGGTGTGGTATGAAGTATCAGACCCATGAAACATTACACGTGCGGGGAAGTCATCATCATCATCTTCGTCAGCTTCTGTCACGGATACCAAGACTGACGGCTCTAGAGGTATCGCTACATAGAGATCAGTCAAGTCACACATTCAAAACACGGGTCATATACCTGTCGTCCGTCGAAGCGCATCGCTCTTGAGCCAATACCGCTCCTCATAAAACCCGCGGTTTGTCTCCTCTCTGTTGGATGACAGTGCCGCGTCACCAAGCCCTCTCATGTCGGCGGATCGTGCAGAAGGGCTGTCGCCTTTCTCGAGGAGTGTCTTCTGTCTAACCTGATCGACGTACTCGTAGCTCTTGTGTCTGGCCATTTTCCGAGGAGACTGTACCGCCGCACCATCATATTGCATCGCATCAGCTGGAATACGGACGACCGTGTCCATGAACGCATGTTGATAACAATTCAGATACGGTTGTGGCCTTGACGGGTGGATCGGATGTCTGCTCGCGCCGGTGATTGGCGCGCCCGACAGGCCATCCTCGACCGACTGTAACAGCGGCATCCCTTGTCCTGCAAGACGCACACTGCACCTGCTCCACGGCCGCGACGACGAAGGCAATTCGTCGACCTAGTCGCATTGCGAAACGTAAGTGCCATCTCCAAAACGCTCAGAACTGAGGGAAGGGCAACGGACGCTGTCGACATGTGCGATGTACTTCCCGGTGCGGAGCCTCCGTGCAGTGTCTAGCAAAGCACGATCGCGGAGAGGCTCGACCATCCTCACTGGGTCCAGCCAGAGAGCGATGTACGTTCCTGCTGACGGTACGTATGCTTTGGTCTCCATTGAGAGTACGCAAACAGTAGCAACAAGCAAGTCGAGGGGAAGGTGAAGGGCAGTCTATAGGCAGCAGCGATGCGCCGGAAGACTGGAGGGCAATAGGGCGTTCAAGCAGACGTGCGCAGCGCACGGGAGGGTCCTCGAGGCGGAATGTCGGTACAGGTGCAGCCGGGTGGTCGATTAGGGGTAGGTCCATTGTGCGTGGATGGCGGGAAATTATAGACAGGGGCGCGGTCATAGCGCGACAGGAGCCCTTGTGAGTGAAGGCCTGTCATTGTGAAGGCGACAATAAGGGGCTGCGGGCCTGACGACCGCGTGCATGTGATTGGACCCACATGGACCCACGGTAGTCGTGCTACGAGTGTTGTACAAGACGTATGGGGATAACTTAGATCATGGTGCGGCGGACCAGAAGTAACGTACCTTTCAGACTTTACACCATGTGCACACATGCATACCTAGTGCATCAGAAACGACGCACACGAATAGGTGCTCTTCACAATAAACAGCGACTCCGGCGTAGAGCGAGTTGACTTGAAGCACGCGGTAGATGGTCATAAGCGAAAGATAGCTAGTGAGTACTTTGTGTAGCACTCGAATATTACTAAGTTTCACATCATTAGTAGGTATCAATACAAGTAGTATACAGCCCGTCAGCCTTAATTTAGTCAGTGCCTTCGTGAGAAAATCGTGAGCATGGCCGCGCAGACCATCATGAGACAACAACCCGTGCTCCTACGCCTTCTCTGCCTTGTCTTGGATCTTGTCCTTGATCAATGCGCGCTTCTCGTGCCGCAGGCGCTGGCTGTCTCGAACGCCGAACCCGTGCTGGAAGATGATCTGCACCTCTTCCAGGCTGAGGCCCGCCGTCTCAGGGTAGCAGAAAATGCAGAACAGCCAACCAAGTAGGCAGAGCCCGGCGTAAAACCCGAACGCACCTGCGGGCGTGATCTTGTTCATCAGCGACAGGTACGTTGAGTTGATCAACAGGTTCGCGCCCCAGTTCGTCATCGTAGCAAGCGACGTCCCGATGCCGCGCACTACATTGCAGCCAAGCATGAGCGATGCGGGCACAAGAGTCGATTGAACGTGCTCACCCTCTAACCCGAAGAGTTCACCCTGCTGCCACGGGACGTTGCCAAGACCCGTCGCATACGACGCGACATAGAAGATCATTGCCAGCAACACGATCGCAGACCATGTCCGCGAGTAGTCCGCACCGTCGACGAGGTTGCCGCCCGTCTTCATAGTCATATCTATGAGCCGTCTCTCAGTACACATCGACCTGCAGCCCAGCGCGCTTCACGCACAGTGGAAAGCAATGCTCGCCAGAGTGAGGCCAACGATCATGCCTGGAGATGACCAGACCATGATCCTGCGCCTGCCGATGATGTCGATGTACTTCAGCGCGAATAGCGTGAAGAGGAAGTTGGTGCCGGAAATGATGAGCCCGACCGCGGTGGGCTGGTTGAAGCCGATCTCCTTAAAGAGCGTGGCTAGCGGACCGTCAATTGACACTCTTCTCTGCAGCCCAAACCCACATACCGCTGTAGTACATTAGCTGAAACCGTCTCCGTGAGCAATCTGCTTTGGCATTCAAGCGAAGAGGCCGCGCTCACAGTGTTGAATCCACACAGTTGTTGGAAGGCTTGCAGACCACAACCGATGACTGATCAATTGGAATATTGTTAGGTTGACGCAATCAAGTCACCCCGACAAGACCTACTCAGAGCTCTGCGATTGATCGGCTTTACTAGGATAGACCGGCAGCGTTGCCACAGCGTCGTCGAATTTGTGATCTCGATGCTCTGCTTGACGGCGGCGCTAAGCACCTTAACCTGGCCAAGTCATGAGTGCTTGCCGACCGCTTCGTGGGGAATCGCATTCACCTTTAGCTCCACTTGCGCAGGAGTAGCATGTGCGTAGATTTTCGACACAACAGAGCGAGCCTCATCGTATTGTCCCCGACGAAGAAGAATGCGCGCTATTGGATATATCAGCAAAGTACGTGTGACATTTTACGGAAAGCAACTTGCGCGATTCTGGGAGGTAGAAGAGGAAGAAGAACTGTAGACCAGAAGGCACGGCGCCCAAGCCCACCATCCACCTCCAGCCTCCGTGTGTGTTTTCAAACGCTGCGTCAATGCCATACGCGATGACTTGCCCCAGCGTGATCAGCGCAACGTTCAAAGCCACCATCCGTCCGCGCAGGCGTGTTGGCGAGAGCTCCTGGATGTACAGAGGCGCGATGCAGGACGCCACACCGACCCCGAAGCCGATTGTGAAGCGACCGCCAATCTACAATGTCTAGCGGTTAAATTTGAGATGCGACTGGCAGAGACGATGGTGCGTTTACCATACCCCAGACGGAGTGACACACGGCCTGGCCGATCGCTCCGCCGATGAAGATGACGTCCGCCATCGCGAGTACGGGTCTGCGTCCAAGGTAGTCCGAGAGCATCCCCGCGATGAGGCCGCCGATGAGTGCGCCGAGCGTTGTTGCAGACGTGATGAGTTCCTGTGCGAGGGGGACCTCTCAGCAAGACGCGGGGGGGGGGGGGGACGTCGAAAACAGGCGGGCGTACCTTCTGTCCCGACGATAGCGAAGCTGGACCCAGGTCCGATCCTATGGTGACCAGAGCACCAGAGATCACTCCGGTGTCATAGCCTGTGATACGGCCTCAATGGTGTTTCTCGCAGCCCTAGGCAAGCGAGGCTCACCGAACAGCAGACCCGAGATACTGGTGCAGCACACGAGGAGCCATACGAACCATGTTGTTCGCTCTTCACCCTCAGCGACGACTGCAAGCTCAGATATCTCACCGGCAGCATTGATCTTCGAGATGTCCTCCGCGACCTCGTCATAGCTATCACTCGTGGTCAGTTTGCTCGCGCTTCGAGCAGGATCACATGTCACTCACCCCTTCAGATCCTTCTCGGAGCTCCTTAGGTCAGGCAAACAGTCCATGCTGCCGGTAGACATAAAGGAAACAAGAAATGCAAGTTCACGAGCGACACTGTGGCGGTCAGAACGAGATCCTCGCCTTGGCACACAAAAAGAGCTGCTATATTTTGGACCGGTCCCCGGTCCCGTGGGGTCGGCATCGGTTGATTGGTTTGCGAGAGAATTTTATCAGATTGATGACATCTTGTCTGGATCGGGTGAGTCCATCTGTTAGTTAGTGTGCATGTTTCTTGTGATTCGCTTGTGATACAAGACTAGGTGTCAAAGGTTGTTGCTAGTTTATTACTGAGAATTCCGAATGGCCACATCTGATGCGACAGAGTACGCTGCTCGTACATTCTCGCTAGGGAATTGACACATAACACTAGGGGGTTATATATACGACTGATGGCAAGGATAATAGACCGAGTCAAGAATAGTATGACCATCAGTGGAACACGGCTCATGATACGGAGCACGGGTGGTCATGGGGACCTATCCAGATGCAAGTGACCCAATTGCGAGGCATTGCAAGTCATGAGACAATGATATTCGTGGCGACGTTGTCCTTGAGGCGCTTACATCGTGCCCACAGCGACTGCCGTAGTGCTATGATTAGAGCGCTGCACAATGGTGACAACTCACGATAATATTTGGCAGCAGGCTCCTTCCCGCCGTCTTCGGGAGGTGAGGGGGACTTCATTCGAGGGCGGAATTCATGCTAAGTCCCAATAGCTTGGGGAAGATCATATCTTAGATCCCATCACACATATCACGTGCGTTACCCAAATATTCAAACTCCACAATCTTAATCCCCCTCACCTCCCTGTGACGGCTGGCACAAAACATTTGTAAACAGCGGCGCTCGGAGCCGGACTTCCTCCATATAGTATGAGATCACGGCCAAAAACTAAAAGCGGAGAACTAAATGTCATAATATTTGCTCTCGTCAAAATGAGCATCCAGCTGCGCCGCCTTGAAAACAGAGTTAAAGAATGGGTGAAGATGAACATGTTTGCTATCTGCAATGCCCCTACACAAGCCCCTCCTGCCAACCATCGGCGCTATCCAAAAGAAGACATTTGCAAAGCTGGGCCATGACCCTTGTGAATGGCAGGTGATTGAAGGTTGCACGCGAGATCCAAAGGATGCCATATGCGTTGCACCAACCAGCGCAGGCAAAACACTCACTGGGTTGACCAATGCTCTGCAAATACCTCGAGAAGCTGCGTGAGAACATTGACGTGCATGGCTCCAAGACACGGAGGCAGCGCGTTCCAATGTGTCTCGGACGCGTCGCGTTCTGGCTCATGCGATCGCGTTTATTATGTAATGTAGGTAGCATATTTTGTCAAGCGCCCAGTCGCTCAATCGAGGCGACTGCCCTCCGAGCGCCGCTGTTTACAAATGTTTTGTGCCAGCCGTCACAGGGAGGTAGAGGGGATTAAGATTGTGGAGTTTGAATTTGCACGTGATGTTCACATGACATTCACGTGACATGTGGCGTCAGTTCTAGTTTAGGATACAGTACTTAGGATGTAGCATGAGTACCACCGTCGAATGCAGCCCCTCTTACCTCCCGAAGACGGCGGGAAGGAGCCTGATTTGGCAGGTGTAATGAGTCATTGGACATGAGATAGATCAGACACGCGAGACCTGTTATAAGAGCCAGTCATGTTGACCAACAGACGTTATATGACAGTTGCGAATAGCGTCGACGTCGACGTCTCGATGAAGCCGAAGTCATGATCGAGCTGGAAAGCGAGTATCAGAAAATTTGTAGGCAAAACGGCGTATTTGCATGTGTTTGTTCCACGCCAACACTCCGTGAAAGTCGGTCTCAGCATCTCCGTGTCAGAACAAAACCAACACATCACAGTCTTCTCTAAGAAATTTGGTTTCATTGCTTCTGTCAATGTTCGCAATCTTCAATGCAGCAGTGCTCAAAGAGCTAAAGCGCTTACATCCACAAGCGCTCGATGCCACCGTGACTGGCAGCCACATTAAGTTACTAGTACTAACAAGTTGAAGCCTCGCGCGATATCACTTTCGGTAACTTCTTTCCACAACGACAAAATGTCTCGGCTTATGGAAGTGAAGTGTTCTGTATATACCTGCAGCAACGGCAATGACCGTGGGCCCCTCCGCCCCGAAAGCGACGTGTTTTTTCCTACCGTCCATTCATCCGTAGCCGCCACGTCAAATGCGGAGAAGTGATGGAAGCGAAGAAAGGACATGAATTATATATTACACAGATTCTGCTTCTGCTCACCTATCACGATCCTTAGCACAGTCGGAGGCAGTAACAGTATCCACCTTGATTACCGCAGTTATGAGGCCTGTGGTAGTTTTGTTGCCTTGATTGTCATCCACTATTTGCTATACTGATACCCTCAAGGACTATCAGAAGCCAGTGGCGCCGTTTTGTGTACGTCTGCAAGTCTTTTGTAACTGTGTATACCATCCTTACCGCCCGCTCTGGACGAAGCTTCTGCTCCAGATCGTCAAACTTCACCCGTTGTCAATGCTCGAACAAGCACATAGTCTTCATACTTTGTATCTAGTCGGGGTCAAGAACAATGAGAGGTTTAGCGTCTGTACGTATCTAACACCCTATCTAGTGGACAGGCTTCTCTTCTTCTCCATATCAACTTCGGCCCCTCGGTGATGGTGATTGTGGATAAGACACCATTTGAACAGCGGTTTTGACGACGAGTGGTTCCTATCCGCTGTTGTCTCTTGATCTCGCACTTCACAAGACTCGAACAGTAGGACCATGAGCTGCACGCCACCGGAGGAACGAGCATATACAGCAGACCTGGACGACAAGTTCGACTCAGAGGTACTCTCTGATTGTGTCCAGGATGTTACATCTGAGCATGGGTCGAGTAAAAATCTCATCGACCGTATGACTACTGTCCTTGGGAGCTGGGGGCTTGAAACGAATGGGTGCGCCAGTTTTACTCGCCGATGGCACTTTCTTTTCCACTGATCGCAATTCATGACAGAATTGTACCAGTTCCTCCAGAGAATAGAACTGATACGCGATTATACCAACTGTTCTTCATCTGGTTCTCCGCAAATGCGAACATCTTGACGTACGTCCTATACCGGTATGCGCCAAGATTGCGACTTGACACAGGGCGCGCATGATCGCAGCCTGACTGCAGGCACCGTGGGCCCCGCATTCTACGGCCTCGGAATTAGGGAGTCATTCTTGATGATAATAGTCGTCGATGTGATGTGGGTATCTCCGTTGTGATATGCGAGACTACAAAAGCTAAGGTTAGTATAGCACTTGTGCGGTCCCGGCGATGTTGTAAGTGAATCGACACTGACCAGCCGTACACAACTTTACTCCCGCTCAGTGCCGTGTTCGGGCCGAAGCTAGGGACGCGCGCCATGGTGCAATCGCGATTCGCGTGGGGGTATGTCAGCTATTTTCGTGTTGATGTTTCGTTCTGCTTACAATTTACAGTTACTACGGCGCGATCATACCGAGCGTGTTGAATGTCATCTCATCCCAAGGCTACCTCATAATCAACACGATTATAGGCGGTCAGGTGCTTGGGAGTGTTTCGACTCACGTCAATGCAACTATCGGCATCGTCATAATTGGGCTAATAACGCTTGCCTTGGTCTTCAGTGGATACCGGGTGTTGCACTGGTAAGTGCATCTCTTCACGGGCCACCGGTCAGCTAATGCAATCGAGTAAGGTACGAGACTTTCGTATGGATTCCGAACGTCATAGCTCTTGTCGTCATGCTGGGTGTCAGCGGAAAACATATCACCAAAACTGCCTTGACCAACCCAGCGCCCGTTTCGGTATCCACTCTCATGACCGCCGGCGCAACGCTTGCAGCAACGAACGTAAGCTGGTCACCTCTAACGCCTGATTACGGGGTTTACCACGATCGAAAAGCCAGCTCGTAAGCATTCACATACCCTCGCGTTAGCCTTCAACGATGGCTGACCCTGAGAATAGCTGGAGAGTTTTCATCTATGTGTATCTCGGTTTGTTGACGTCAAGCGTGCGTTCCCGAGTGCCAACCGTTGTCACGATCTAATCTGCCGCGCTCTTCATTCAGATGCCGGCACATCTGCTTGGGGCCGCGTTGACAGCTACTGCGTACCATGTTCCTTCCTGGGAAGCCGGGCTCGGCAATGGCAATGACATAGGAGGCCTCGTAGCAGCCATCCTATCACCTGCCGGCGGCTTCGGCAAATTCTTGCTCGTATTGCTAGCCCTGGCTTCTCCCAGCCAGTGCGCACCGTCAATGTACACGGCATGCACCAGCTTCATGACAATCTCGGCTGTGCTTGCGAGGATTCCCAGATTCGCGCTGTCCATCATCTCGACGATCATGTGAGCCATTCCGTTTTACTCAGATTCATACCTAAGTACCTCGCGCCCATAGTCTCATACCTGTCGCCATTGTCGGATCTTCCAGATTCTACGCGACCTTCGTCGACATCCTGGGTATGCTACGTTGAGCAAAGAGGCGCGATCTGATACTGAGTTCACCATTAGGCTTCATTGGGTACTGGAACGCGCCGTTCTGCGCTATCGTGCTGGCAGAGCACTTCGTCTTCCGCAAGAGCAGGTGGTCCTCGTACCATGTCCTCGATGCATGGAACAAACCCGACCATCCCAACCTGGCCAGAGGTTATGCTGCCGTCTTCACATTCGTTGCCGCCATTGGGTTCATCGTGGTATGCATGGATCAAGCATGGTGGGTTGGCCCTATTGCTCGTGCTGGCACAGGCGACATTGGGATGTTATGTGGCTTTACGCTGAGCATCCCGTTGTTTGTGTGTGCGAGGTGGCTGGAGAGGGTATGGAGCGGAGTTAAGCATGTGGGATGAGAATCCAAGTACTCGTTCAGCTCACTTGACATACTGCTCGGTCTAATAGTACACCGGGCCCGAAATATAGAATTGACACAAAGCCTTGGGTCTTCTGGTATTTAGGCATGTTTCCGAAGAATCAAAACGTCCGCGAACGTTCTCAGCTAACGCTCAAGGAGGTCTGGGGTTCGTTGACATATGCACCGACGTTCGAGATGAGAAGATCACGGCTCTAAAGATTCGTGAGGCAATCCTGGTTTGGGCTAGGCGCTGTCTCGGTTGCACTATAGAGAGTAGACATGCACAGGTTCCAAATTGCGAACTGTCCCATTGGCTGCTACTGATATGTAAGTTGGTTCTAGGGTTAGTTACATGTGATCTCAAAGCTAGCCTGGGTGCGCAACGGGCGATAGACCACTCGTGCGCTGAGCAACTTGGAGCCCATAATCAACCAGCATAACGTGCAAGACATCACGTCAGACATCGTGATTGATTTTGAATCCTCATAATATTCCGACACGCAATATGATACCGGTGGAATTGCTGTTCGAGGCCTTCACGACTGCTCGGCCAGACGATCGAGCTTCTTAGCCTTGCCATCCGGCGAGGCCACTCTTTGCCAGCCCCTCTCATCCAGCTGCCGAGCTCTCTGGTTGACCGTGATGAGCGCGCGTCGAAGAGAAGGAATTAGAGTCTGGATCGGCATGCGGTACAGTTCGAGCGTGGGCAACATATAGTACGTCCAGTCTGCAGTAAGTGAGCACGCCGTACACCACGGCGGACAGCGGGCACAAAACACACCTTGCAGCACCCATTTCTGCCCAGCGTCTTCCTGCCTGAACACGACACGCTCTCTGCCCTTCGTGTCCAGCTCGACATCAGCCCCACGAGACACGATGAGGCCCAACGCAGTCTTCACGCGGTACCCAATGCGCTTGCGCACGACCGCCGAGCGGCTGACATTCTTGCCGAGGACCTTCAGCAGCGACATGTTTATGCGACCCGCGTCAGGTCCTCGCTCAGACGCAGGGCGGAAGGGCGGGTCCGGCCAGGGATACGGCACCCGATGCAAAACAGCCTTGGGGACCGCGCGCAGGATGAAGCCGTTGGCGTGCGCGGTTGGCACTGTGCGGTAGAGCACGGGCTGACGGAGGCGGCTGGCAGGATGGCTGGGATCCAGGGGCCCACAAAATGCTTCTACATCGGTGTTAAAGAAAGGCGTGAGCGATCCTGGTGTGGTACGCCTGAACTAAGGTCCGAACATTACTCAGTGCGATGACATTAGAGTTCAAAAAGGCAGACTCACGTTCACAGATCTAGGTTTCGCTGCCTTTGGCAACTTGCTGAGCTCACGACATCTCTGCATGCGGGGTACGGCTACCCAAGATTATGTTGTCGAGACTCGAGACGGTCGCGACTCACGTAGTCCAGAGAAGAGCTAGATACTTCCGAATCAGACTCCGGATACGACTCACGTGGACTACGAGATCTTCCATATCTTGTTTGCAGCTTTCAATGCTTCACGCTCAACTACAAGCCTCACTGAATGATCACAGTTCGAGACTGTCGCCTCACATACGCGTGCCTTATATGACGGGGACGTTCGAACATGCTGAAATAGACTCAAGGTTCACTCAAGAAGTGTGGCGGTGATATTCATCTCCGAGATGAATATCGCTTGTCCTCGTCCGCACAGCGTCGATTCTCCTTTTAAACATGAGCATCTGCATGCTAATGGGTGCAATTGCCCAAGGAGATCGTTCATCCGCACGTCCAGAGCCATTCAGCACGATAAGTTGGTGCGATGCCTACGTTCCCCACTGAGGTTTTCGAAATGATCATCGACTTCGTCTGGCCAGATCGTCCTACCCTCGTCGCCTGTGCGCTCACCTGCCGCGCTTGGACGCCAAAGAGTCGTCGGAACCTCTTCTACAGCCTCGATTTCCACAGCACCAAGCAGCTGACGCGACTGTCGCGCCTGCTCAAAGCGCGGCCCAACCTCGTAAATCTTGTCAAGCAGCTGAGCGTCGCCCCAGATGCTGCACATCTCAACCTTGCGAGCGCGTTTCCATTCCCGCTCGCGCGCAAGCTCACCCGAGTCGAACACCTCCGTGTCTTCGGCATATCGCGCAACTTCCCATGCCTCGACCCGAGCTTCACCGCCGCGCTCCACGAGTTCAAGTCCATCACCCGTCTAGAGATCACCCGCACCATATTCCCCTCGCTTGTGGTCTTTGGTCGCCTTTTGTTTGCGCTGCCCAACCTGTCCGTTCTGATATGTGCCAGCGTGAGATGGACCAAGGCGGAGTACAAGGCATCGATGATCCCGCCGATGGCAGTGCCGCTGAAGCTCATATGCATGTCTATGTCCTTTGCATACTGGTCCACCGATCTGGTGGACTGGCTACTCGCGGTCGTCAGCCACGAAAGTCTGCGCGCTATTAACCTGCGTCGCATCTGGATGAAGGATATGAAAATCATCGAGAAGATTCTGTCGACTGTCGGTCCCTCCCTTCGCCATCTGGTGATCGGCTGCGATATACTCAAGGCGGACGAAGAAAGTATGCCAGACTATCATCCAGTTCCATTGTCCATTGACGTCGATCGCCTGTTTGCCCAGTTCACTATCCCAGCCTTGAGCGCAACACCCGCCTCCGGGTAATTCACCTGGAATTCCGGGCGAAGGGCGAATGGATCCCTGAGATGCTCTCTCGCGTGCCGTTCGCTGACCTGTGTCAAGTGAACATCATGTGCGCAGGCAAGATTGCGAGCACCGACCTGGATCGCATAGAATGCACCCGCATCGACGGACTGCTGTCCCACAAGAAGTTCGCCAAGCTCGAGGCAGTCGTGTTTCAGTATCATAATTACGTGGCGACGGGATGGATCGCTTGGTGGCAGGTAGAGATCCCGCGTCGCTTTCCCCGGCTCTGGTCCAAGGGCCTGGTACGATTCGAACCCTGTAAGTCTCGGCCAGTGTTATTCAATCCGTGTTGAACCGCTCTCACGACTGTACCGCTTTCAGGGCGCCGTGACTGGTGGGAGGTTTCAGCGGCACTGCCATAAATATATGTAGCCGTTGAATTTCCCATTGACCGGTCGACGTCGACGTCTTTCGAATGTTCAGGTAGGCACAAAGCCAATTCTGGATGCCGCCGTATCGACGCCGGAAAGTTACGTGCGGCACTAGGCCGGAATGTACCAAGATTAATTGACCATGTGTCGAGACGTCTAGTTATCGCATAGGGATACAGTTGCTAGCAGTGGATCCGTGTTGTAACGGAGCTCAAAAACACGTATGTATCGTACGTGTGCGAATAAGATATGCAACAATCGAATGGTGTAAGACTTGCCCAGAGACCACACTGGTACAAGCAGAACAAGCTAGCAGGAAATGAAGGCACTCAGGTATCTGGTATAATACAGCGGATGTAATGTGTCATCTCGATAGGAGTGAGAGCTCAGACGAACCTAAAACCAACAGCAAGACCCAGAACGCATAGGGATTTCCGTACATATAGGCGCATATTGTAAAAGGGGAAAAATAAAAATAGAGTGGGTGCAGGCGGTGGGCGGGGCTTATCCAATATATTTGTATTCGTGCCACATGTCGTTTCCACCGTTCGCATCTGGCGGCAGCCATCCATGCGAGCTTGACATGGACATAGACTGGGGATTCGGTGGCGGCTGGTACTCGTGGGTCAGCTGTCTCGTATGCTCTGGCGGCCGGTTCATGTGCGATTCGTATGACGCCTTCTCGTAGGAGAGATACTGTGCGTGTCCGTGGGGCATAGCAGACATGGGCATCCCGCCACCACCAGGCTGGGTATCTATGGGCGGCATGGGCGGCGGCGGCGGCGGCGGAAGTCCTCCCATTGGCGGCAACGAAGTCGGAGGGGGCATGGAGCCACCCTCGAAGCCGGAAGGCGGGCCTTGAGGCGGAGGATATTGGTGGTAGTAAGGAGGGGTGCCATATGAAGCCGGGCTGGGATACTGCATGGAAGCTTGGTCGAACAGCGACGCCGCCTTCGGCGAGTCCGCATACGATTGCGAGCTAAATCGACGCCTCTCGACCATGTTCGACTCGTCGCCGGAGCTGTAGTGCATCTGGTACTCGTCGCGCGGGGGAGGCTCGTGCGCCGGTGTGGGAGTTGCCCGCGTCGAGTAGTTTCCGTACCCGCCATTGACGCTCGAGGACTGCGAGACCGTAGATTGTGATGGAACGATGGTGCTTTGCGACGTTGACGCCGAGGGCGGCATCGATCCCGCTGGCGATAGCTCAGCGCGCCCACTCGGCGTCGAGGGTGGCGGCGCGTTGCTCGAAACCGACCCGGTCCTCTGGCGCGACGTCGGCGGGCCCGCAGGTCCCGGCGGTCCCGGCGGAGGTCGAGCACGGATGCCCACGGGCGACAGTTTCGCGGTTCTGTCCTTCTCCTTCGCCTGCCTCTTCGTATCGCTCTTCGACTTCGACTCGTGGCCAGGAGCCTCCTTCGCTATCCCGTTCATGGCCTTCGCGGGCGGCCTTGGAGGGTCTGCCCTAAGAGACGACACCGACGCACCGACAAATGGTAGCTGGAAGCCCGACGACAGCCGCTCGTCCTCCAGTGGCGATCGCTTGCGCTTCATACCCGTCGTCGCCCCGCTTCCTGAACTGGCCATACGCGCCGCCTCCGCCTTGCGCTTCATCATCTCCACAATGCGGACCGCCTCGCCGCGGCTGCCCTCGCCGTGTGTCGGACCCAGGTCACGCATGACGTCCAGTGCGGCCGCCACGCTCTTGATCGCCTCGGCGGCCAACAACGTACTCGGCTGCTGGATGACCGCGTGCGCACACACGACCGCCGCATCGAACAGCGTCCGCTGAAAGTCGTAGAACTCGAACGCCGCAGGCCGCGTCTGCCGCCACACCGCATGCAGCATGCGCGACGCATAGATGACCATGTGCGCCGCGTTGATCGCGCTGAGCACCGCCTGGTGGGTGGGCTTGCTCCCACCGTTCCCGCTGCAGTCCTTGAGAAGCGGCAGGTACAGCTTCAGGATGAGACGGTTTGCGAGTATCGCGAGCTCGCACTTCTGCGCCTGGAGCACGGGCGACATGGACCCTGCAGATACAGCCGGTTCGGCCCAGTCATGGTCCAAATCGAGGCGGAATGCGGGCGGGAGCTCAGACAAGAAGCCGGAGGCGTCCGCTTCGAACGCGGCCGCCTGCTCGATGGCGAGCTCGGACGGATCCTCCGCGAGGGGATCGCGGAACGTGAGCTTCTTCGCATTCTTCACTAGCTGTGCGAGCCTGAGAATAGTGGAGATGCGCGTGTGAGCGCGACCTGACACAGAGATACCTGCGACGCGGGCGGTTCTCACCTACACTTGAGCACGAAGTACTGCGTGCCCTTCTCGAGGCTCTCGCCCGCAGGGAGCACGGGCAGGGACATCGACGACGGGTTGAAGTGCTCCTCGTCGACCTCCGCAGGCATGCGAGTCGTGAACGAATTGTCCGCGATCAGCGGCGGATGCCCCATGCAGTCCGAAACGAACCTGTAATCAACGAAGCGGTGAGGCTGCGCACGCACGAACACGAAGCCCATCCGACACGCACAAGTCGTAGTAGAACACGTCCCACCAGATCCGGCGGCGCGTCTCCGCCTCGAACAGGCTGTACGTACCCGGGAACTCGTCGGGATCAATCGCGAGTCCCATCATCCGCGCGACATTGATCATCTTGCCCACCTGCGATGCGTCCGCCCGCCAATATCACCAGAGACACCACAAAGAAAGGAACCGATCAGACAGAACACGCAGCGCCCGCAAAGGGCACTCACCAGTGGGAACACACCCTGCGCGACGCTCATCTGTCCATCATGCAGCTGATACAGGATCTGCAGGATCATCGTAATCAGCATGTCCAGATCGTACAGCGCCGTGCGCTCGTACAAGCCCAGCGCCTGCTCAGACAGCGCGAACAGTGCCGCCGGGCTACACCGGTGGTCCTGCCCGTCTTGGCCTGCCGCGTTCTCGCCCTCGCCAGCCGCATCTGGGGGAGGGCTTGGCGCATCAGCATCCCGCGAAACCAGTGCACCAAGCGCGAGCGCCGCTGCGGCAGCAGCGAAGAAGCTCAACGTCGGTTTCGGAGCCCCGGCACGCGGCGGCGCCGCCTCCCTGCCGCCCGCATGCTTTCCCGGCTTCGGCGGCGCGCCAAAGAACAGCTCGTGCGCAAGCGCCTTCATCGTGCCCGCCGGGCCAGACCCGCCGTACGCGTTCCCACCTGCGGGTGCGGGTGCAGGAGCAGACGGGCCGACCTCGCCCCACGCGCACATCGCCCCGACGCGCTGCTCAAAGTGGCGCACGTTAAAACACGGGTGAAGCATCATGGTCTCGCTGAGCGCGCGCAGGTACTTCTCGCGGTGCTCTGGCGGCGGGAGGCGGTCAAGCAGCGTGGGCGTGACTTGCGGAGGCTCATCCGCGCGCGGAGATGGCGGCGTGACGCTCGGGAAGAGATCTGTCGACGTCGTGACGTGCGTGCGCAGTGGGGACGCAGAGAGGAGGAAGGTCTCGTACGGGATCGGAGGAACAAAGAGCCGCGCACGGCATGCATGCCCCCTGGTGGTGGCGAACATGACGGACGGAGTTGGCGGCATGATGACGGGCGTCGGCTCGAGCTTGACGCGCGGGCCGCTTGAAGGTCCAGCGGTAGCCTCGGAGAACGAGCCGTTGAGGTCGTCGAGTTCATTGAGCCAGATACTAGCGACATCATCGAGACTGATGACTACCGAGCTGCCTGACGAGCCGATTGCAAGCAGTGCACGGTCGTTGCTCGGCTGGCCGTGTAATTGACTTATGTTACCGGACGAGCCGATCCCGGTACCATTGACAGGAGAAAAGCCACCGGATATCGAGGCAGAGAATGGCATTTTGAATGACGGGAGATTGCCTAGAATAGATGAGACGGAGGACGAGGGTGACGCGGAAGAAAGCTTGGCAAGGGTGCCTTCCAGGTTGAGAATGCGGTTGTGTAGAGACTGAACGTCAATCTTCTCTGCGGCTGCTTGCGAATAAATACATCGCGTCACGGTGTCGCGTTTCAGACACGAACTGCATGGTGTCCGTCTATCGCATTTGAGTTTGAGCCGCTTGCACTGTTGATGTTGAAGCAGGTCAGTCAAGCGAATGAGAAGGCGTACGATAGAAGGTAACAAAATAGACACGAAAACCAACAAAGTGATAACAGAATATGAAGGTCGACCGGCCGCAAACGCAGCGAGCGCTGATAATGCGATGTAACACAATGCATTGACCAGTGAATAGATGAATAGGAAATTACACTGATCAATTAGAGGCAAGCCGTCGGGTCCTGGGGGCTGACGCGTCCCTTATGAGTCGATGAATTACATCAGCTAGAGGCCGATACAGTGTTTCTGCAGGGGTCTATGACCAAAGAGCCGTATCTGCAAATCGCCCGCGGGTATGTAGGGCATGCCCGCAGATCAGCCTGGCAATGCAGACCAGGCGGGGAGCCTCAGCCACGTCGAGAGCGCCAATTGCAGCTCGGCAAGTGCACAAAATGAAAAGAAGCGCGAAGCGAATAGCGGCAGGCACGCCCGGGGCACAACACACGGGACGCAACGGACGTACCTCCGCACACACGACGGTGATCCTGGAGCGGATGTGTCTGGACGGCAACGCCGCGCATCGTCAATACAACACACAACGCGACGGGGACGGGCCTGTACACGCACGGCCCATTGGAGAACTTTGGCTGCGAGACCGAGCTCGGCGCGGGTGGCGCCTGTGAGTGCGCCTGCGCCTGCTGGTGGTGCTGAGGCTGCATAGAGTGCTCCTGGCCGTGCGGCGACCGCGAGTGCGAGTGCGAGTGGGCGGCGGACCCAGGGCCGGTGTGGTAGGGTATCGAGGCGGAGTGGGGGGTATGAGTGGAGGTATCGCAGTCAAGTGCGGGCGGTATGTCCATCACGGACGTGCGAGAGCGGCTGGACGTCGTGTGCGGATCGCGCGGCGAGCAGGACGGCGGGCGGGCAGGCGGGAGGGGGGGGAGGATATAGAGGAGAGCAGGAATATGAAGGCGCGACGCGGTCTTGCATTGGGTGCCAGCCGCTTGCCGTTCCTGGAAAGGGCGCCCCCCCTGGCACCGCATTCCCACTGCAGCCGCCCGAGAGGCCCCCTGTCGACCCTCGGCTTGTCCTCGGCCAACCGTCGGCCCCTATCCTCACATTGATCCTCCAGCATCTCCATTGTCTGCGACCATAGCGTCGCCCGAGCCCTGCATATTTGTTTGCAACGCAAAAAATTGACCAGGCATCGCGCAAAGCACGCGCACCAATCAGCCCTCCATCGGCCAGGAAGCGCCGTCAAGGCAGCGGTCCTCAGTGTCTCATGTCCCCACTTCATTTCCTAAGGTTCGCGCTATATCGCGGGGCGTGCAGCCATGGGAAGCGACCCAGAAATCGGCTAGAACCGCGCGGTCCTCTGATTGCGTTCGGGCGCGCGTACGTAACTCCCAATTGACGGCAGTGCCCAGGGCAGCGCACTGCTAAGAATACCCTCCACAGGCGCAGTTCTCCAGGCCCACAAAGCGCCCCAGATTCAAGCCAAAAGAAGACATGTCCGACGTCGCGTCTCATCTGCGTGGAAACATAAGTGGACTGCATCTGCGAGTGGAATAGAGCAACCACGTCGAGCCACTGTGGTACGACACCGCTCCTCGCCCGATCCGGGACACGCACTCTGCGATATGGCATTCCGATCGTCCATGACATCGGCTCACCATGGGCACGACGGTTGCCGCCCACATAATGCATAAGGCGACGCCGGTACCCTGGTTTCCCTGCCTTCCGACTCGGTCCCCAGCTTAATATGTGCATTGTAAGGAGTTGATTGTATCCAAGCCTTACGTCGATCCATGATGCATGTGTTGGCAGTCGCCCGTAGGACCGCTGGAGTAAGCCATTGCTGATTTTTGTTCGGGCATACAGTTGCGGACAGCCATTTTCAACAAGTCCTCTGTAGCTCGAACGCTAATCCTCCTTCTCCAATGCCAGATATATAACAAGAGGATGGAGCGAAATCAGCCATCTTCACAGCAAAGTCCCCTAGCATAGTCCATAGCAGGGCCTACCACGGCGTCTCATCATCGAGCGTTTAACATTCACGGCGTCTGCGTACTGTCTAAGTGAACGTTGACAGTACCCAAATAGCGACAGCATTTGGACACTCCCCGACAACCCCGGCGACAGCGTCTCTTGCCGCGTTTCGAGCGCCCTAGTGCGCACACGCTGTGCACGCGCATCTGTCTACTATAAGCTCCAACTAGAGGCGCACAGTAGCAGCTCGCGGCTATGTTGGTCGCTGGCGTTCTCGGTCTGCTCGCGGGAGCCCGCGCTCGCGTCGACATCTGCAGATCAATACCCTGCATCATACAAATTATGGCTAGTCGCTCTTTCTCGCTTCGGCCTATGTATCCTGGCCTGGACCCGGCGGTCTAATGAAGCCCTTCGAGCCCCGAGCCCAGTCGGTTCTCAGTACTCGGTATCGGAGCGTGGCTTCGTGCGCGTACACGCTAGGAGAAGAGAGAAAGCGCGAAGTATGATCGAGGCGAGCGCGCGCGCTCCGCGAGTCTATTGCAGGTGCCACGGCGGCCACGCTGAGCAGGCCTCCTCCCCAGAATGGTGCCCTGCTATCGCTGTCAGCACCACGCGTCCTGCAAACTGTCGACCTGATCGGGCACGTGCCTGCCCCCGCCGCATTCAGAGACTGTCCTTCCCCGGGCCTTGGCAAGCCCGGGCGAGCCACGGTGCGGTGCGCCCACCCCACAGAGACAGGGGAAGAAGAAGGGGCGCGCGTGCTTCTTGCTTCTGACACAGACAATCCGAGGGACGACTTCCGAGATTAGCCGTGGGGACGGGACCTGTTGCGCGCGACGTTATCGTTCTGCACACGGGCACCCGCCGGCCCCAGGATTCCTCGTGCTGGTTTGGCGGTACCAATGGCCGTGCACGCATTCGCCACGGGGTGTGGGCCCGGTGACTCAACGGCTGCTCTCTTCCCGCTCTCGGCGTCCCACTCCCTGCGCGTGCATGCCCACGCCGCCCAGGGAAGACGCCGGACCCAGCGCACTGGACCTGTTGTTCCTTACGAGCGCGCCGCCGGCACAGGTGTGCACGAATGATGACGGATGGGTCATGTGCGGATGGCGGCGCAGCGTCATCAGGCATGGAAGGCCTCGGAAGCTTCTGCGCACGCATCATTCACCGCGCGGTGCTTGCGCGCGCGGAGGTTCTGTGGAAGATCAGAGGTCCTTCTTCTCAGGCTGTGCATATTATATAGGTCACAGGCTAGCTGATGACAGGGACGGCGGGAGCACGTAAGCGCAGCTCGTCCTAAGTATCTGGACTGCGCGCCTGTGCACGTGCTCATGTCATGCATGAGACAGAAAGTAAATTAATACAGCGAAGTGAGAAAGGCAGCGGTTGGAAGATAATATCGGACCCCTGCCATTGGCGGCAACGCGTGATCGATCATGCCGCCGGCTACGAACGCTATCGCGATCCACTATGACGCACGCACGCATCCTCGATGGCGGTGAAATAGCCGGCGTTTGAGTCGCCGGGGGCCTGTGTTCTTGGAAGCCCGGCATTCCAACCGCGCATCTGGGTGTTTTCCATTTCGAAGCTGGCCGGGATGCATTTGTCCATGCGCTAGCCTTGTCATGCATCACATTCGGCTGTACTAACTTAGGTGCACGTGCGAGGGATGGTGCTCAAACCCATCAAGCGTGGTGAGATTTCATTCCCACTTTTCATCAGAAAGATTGTATAACCTTCCGTTCGAGTGGATCTGCGGGTGATGTCTGACGGCGAACACATCGACACCCGAGCGGTGCCCGAGGCAGGCAAGTCTGATTCTGTGTTGTTCGTAGAAGGCGCCCGATCATTCGTTTCGTACTAACAGCAGGCTTATAGAGTGGGTGAGTGATGTGTCCGACGGCCCAATCTATCACTTACTGTCAATAACCAGACAGTAGACACCCCCTTTCAGTCGGCAAGGAACGCGTTTACCACGCTGTATGACTAGTGTCGTGTGCAGATGGCTCACAGGCATTTGCCAGTTGCCGGCGCGGGGCGGGATCTGGCAGAGGCCCTTGGCGATTGCTGGAAAGGGTGGCACAACTGGCAAATGGTATTCTTCATGCACAACTACTGTCCGAGAGACAATAGCAGTGCCCTCAGATCCCACTTCCCCGGGGCTGTCTCCTCGTATTGGTGTATCCCAGCTTCCTCTGTCTCGCTGAGGGTACAACACCCTTCCGAACATGATCAAGTCAATTCAGGTCACAGACCTGAATTGTCGTCGATCAGCGAATACAGGTCATGGTTGCCTGTGTACTCAAGTTGTTTGATGGCTTGGACATGCGGGAAGCAACAAATGTTAGGTTGCGAGAGAGATTTTACCTCAGATAATTTGCTCAGAGTCTGGACCAGGCCTCACCCCTCCGAGTTGCGCCAGCATTCGCCATTCCCTATTGCTGCGCCAATTGCCGTGCCAGGCGCGGCAATTGGGCGCAGTTTTGCCAACAACATTATGTATGACACGCTGTCATACAGGAAACAAATGTCAGGCATGATGATTCTCGCGAGCTACTTGACAAGAACAAATTCGTAAACGGCGCATCCTTGCGCCCGTGCTCAACTTGAACGCGAAAGCAGGTAAGCGAGAAGCCCCACCTACATATTATTTCCAGCCATGTTCGTGGTGGGAACAAATCACAGGCCTGCGGATTGATTGGCCAACTTGACAGTACCCACACAGCGGCAAGAAGGCCCATGCTAATCCTTTCCCACCAAGCTGTCAGTCGAGTGATCCGCCGGCACGCCATTGTCAAATTCACACTAGGCCAACCGAGCTAGTCGCCGCGCCAACGGGGTGTGTCATGCAGTCACGTACGACTGGGCGGCCATCAGCGGCGTACGATGTCCTGGAGCTTTCACACATCCAGAGAGGCATTGACCACGGAGCACTGGGGCCTGCTGGGACACCAGAGAATCATGTATGTCCTACTGTACACCGCACAGCACACAGAGCCAGGTCCGGCCGCCCGTGCCGGCTCAAACGCTGCCTGCGCCCCACGCCCCCGCGCGCACCCACCTCAGCTCCAGCCATCGCGCGCACAGATACACCAGCACGCCGACGACAAAGCCGAGCAGCATGCCCACGTCGCCCGTGCCCGTGCGCGCGAGCGGGCCCGTCCACCACTGCTTCTGCATGCACAGCACGATGAACCCCACCGTCGCCGCGAACGTGCACACGGCCGCGTAGCCCCGCGGCAGGTTAGGGTGGCCCGCGTGGTCCCACGCGCCCGCGACGTCGTACGCGGCCCAGCAGCCCCGCCGGAAGACGACGTGCTCCGTGAGCACGACCGCGCAGAAGGGCGCGAGCCAGTAGCCGATGAAGCCTGTGGAGAGGCACGCGCGGACATGAGCATGCGTGAGTGCACGGGGCAGCGGATCCGGCGCACCGAGGATGTCTGAGAAGATCGCATAGAACGTGTCCGAGCCCACGATCGCGACGGGGATGATGCTGCGCAGTCTCTTCAGGCTCGTCGCACATGCACAATTGGTGGCGCGAAACACGCTCACATCACGGTGGACGCGCCCGCGAGGAGGAACCGCGGGATCTTCGCGCACACCGGCGCGAGCGTCATGAAGCTGTTGCACACGGTGTACATCGCGGGCGCGCACTGGCTCGGCGTGGTCAGCGACAGCAGGACGAGGAGGAACTTGCCGAAGCCGCCGGCGGGCGCGAGCACGGCGGCGAGCAGCCCCCCGATGTCGTTGCCGTTCCCGAGGCCGGCTTTCCACGCGGGGACGAAGGCCGCTCCTGCGGTCCAGGCGGCGCCCAACATGTGCGCGGGCATCTACATGTGTGCGCGATGAGCGGATGGGTGGCTGTCATCGGAATACGGCTCCACGCTCACAATCGACAGAAGAAGGCCGAGATAGGAATACCAGAAAATCTTCCATCTATATCAGGAGGTGTCAGAATGCCTCGATACGGCGCGTGGCAGCGTTCGCCTTACGTGCTGGCGGTGTGGTCGTGGTATATGCCCTGGTCGGGCATGAGGGGCGACCAGTTGACCACGCTGGCCCCCAGTGCGGCGCCAAACGTCATGAGCACGGAGGCAGGAGCGGGGGCTGTCCCAGTAACAGGAGCCTGCACCAGGTGTCTCCCACTCACACCGAGCATCACGACGAACGCGACGACGTTCGGTATCCATATGAACGTCTGATACCAATGCAAAACCTTGTACCCGCTGAATACTACCTGCGAGGAGCCGCAGCGTCCAGGAATGAACGAGAAGCTCGGTTAAACGAGACGCGTTGCTCACCAGCAGCGTTACGAGACCGATGATGACGATACCGAGCGTGTTATTGAGGTGTGTCGACACGCTGCCCAATGTTTGTCCACCGACTATGGTATTCAAGATGAGGTATCCTTGCAGGGTCACCGTGACCAAGACGCTAGGGATGAGTGCCCCGTAGTATCTGGGAACGCACGGACGTAAGCGTAGCACGCAAATCACCAAGGAGACGACTATACCCCCACGAGAAGCGCGCTTGGACCATGCCACGCGTGCCCAGCTTAGGCCCGAACACGCCGCTATTTGCAAAGCATCAACATCGTACAGAGCCTCTGGCTGGACGGTGTCCATACGGACTCACAAGAACGCCGGAAAGGCACATGTCCTATGTCGTCAACGGTCAGGAACCTGTGCTTTCGCGGACGGCGAGAGTGGTACTTGCACAACATCCACGACCAGGATGACTAGCAAAGAGTCCCTGATTCCCAGACCATAATACGCCGGCCCCGCGGTTCCCGTAGTCAATCTATAGAACATCATGATTTCCGCATGCTCATTTTGAGTGTGCCGGGGACGCACGTTAGAATGTTCAGATTCGCCGAGAACCACATCAAGAACATCTGGTATATGCGCGGGTCCTTGCGTTCTTCTGCGGGAATAGGCACTATACTAAAGCTGTATCAGCCCTCATTGCCAAAAACGATTCATAATATTTCTCACCCATTGGTCTCAAGGCCCCATTTCGTGAGTTGAATGATGATCCTCTGAAGAAAAGTGGCTCGCTCAGATATTTCTTCAGGCAAGCGCTGAATATCGGTTTCCGCCGTGGCCTCGGTCGACAACTTCTCCACATCTGCGTCGAGCTGCTCATCTGGCTCCTTTGTCTCTGAGAACACGGCCCTCGACATAGCCTGACGCTTGAGGACGACTGCAGGGAAGAAGAGGTGTTTGTCACCTTGCTCAAGAGTCAGTGCGATGGCGCACTACATCTCGTATTCGCCTTGACATTGCGAAGCACGAAACCTGCCGTAGGATTAGCAAACCTCAACCACGAGGGCAAACAAAGCGGAAGTGATACGCACTTAGCTCCAGGAGAAGCAAGGTCACAAGAGTACGCGGAATGCCTACGGCGAATCTCAGGACTTACTGAATCCACGTGTCGCCCTTGAGAAGCGATACCAGAAGTATATGGGTACCATGATGTCTACCTTCCGTATCATGACAGGTTCCATGTCGATGTCGCAAACTCTGATAGAGAAATGTCCTGCAGACGTGCATTATACATCATTTGCACGATGTCAGACTTGTTCATTGTGGTCATTCTTGAAGGAAATCAAGACAACGCCTGCCGAGTTGTAGGGGTAAGTCAATGTCCGAAAACGCATCAAGAGTTGTCTTATGAAGCACGCTGCCGTATACTTCATTGTACTGAAACTTAGGAGTCCAGAAGACTTCTACGCCTTGCTGGGTATCAGCTGAGAACACCTATGGGCGCTTGAGCTCAGGTGAACGCTCATTTCTCCGAGACGCGCACCGAGACCCCAGGCTTCGTGTCATTTCTATATTTCGGGCCCGGTGTACCATCAACCCGAGCAACATGTCAAATGAGCTGAACGAGAACTTGGATTCTCATCCCACATGCTTAACCCCGCTCCATACCCTCTCCAGCCACCTCGCACACACAAACAACGGGATGCTCAGCGTAAAGCCACATAACATCCCAATGTCGCCTGTGCCAGCACGAGCAATAGGGCCAACCCACCATGCTTGATCCATGCATACCACGATGAACCCAATGGCGACAACGAATGTGAAGACGGCAGCATAACCTCTGGCCAGGTTGGGATGGTCGGGTTTGTTCCATGCATCGAGGACATGGTACGAGGACCACCTGTTCTTGCGGAAGACGAAGTGTTCTGCCAGCACGATAGCGCAGAACGGCGCGTTCCAGTATCCAACGAAGCCTAATGATGAATTTAGTATCAGATCGCGCCTCCTTACGCAACATAACATACCTAAGATGTCGACGAAGGTCGCGTAGAACCTGGAAGATCCCACAATGGCAATCGGCATGAGGCTGTTGAGAGCGTCAAATGGGGTCCGGGTCTCTGCTGCACGGCTCAGCGACGTACATGACTGTTGAGATGATTGCTAGTAGGAATCTCGGAATCCTCGCGGACACGTTTGATATCGCCCCGAAGCTTGTACATGCTGTATACATTGACGGCGCACACACGCTCGGTGCACTCAAGGCCAATAACACGAGCAGAAATTTGCCAAATCCACCGGCCGGTGATAGAATGGCTGCTATGAGACCCCCTATGTTGTTGCCATTGCCTAATCCTGCCTCCCAGGCAGGAACGTGATACGCAGTGGCTGCGAGCGCCGCGCCAAGCAGATGCACGGGCATCTGAACAGAAAATTCTCTAGACTCGATCGTGGGCACATCTGATGTGGAATGACTCACGCTGGATGTCAGTAGACCAAGGTATGCATAGAAGAAAATCCTCCAGCTGTGTCCCACGTCAAAAACGGTACAACATTAAGGCAAGAATGTAAACGCACTCACGAGCTGGCTTTTCCGTCGTGATAAACCCCATAATCAGGCGTCAAAGTTGCCCAGCTAATATTCGTGGCCGCCACCGAAGCACCCGCTGTCATGATAGCGGATGGCGGGATGGGCGATGGATTAGCCAAAGGTGTCATGATTATGTGTTTTCCACTGATGGCCAGCATGATGACAAAGGCTATAACATTTGGAATCCACACAAACGTTTCATAACTTGCCCAAGGATATGTCACATCAGCTGATGAATTACATAGGAATATGCACTTACCAATGCACCACCCGGTACCCACTGAAAACGACGAGAAGTGTCACGAGCGCAATAATGATGATGCCAATAGTTGAGCCAACGTGGGGTGATACGCTCCCGAGTGTTTGACCACCTATTATCGTGTTCGCTATGAGATAACCTTGACACGAGATCACGTTCAAGGTGCTCGGTATGACCGCTCCGTAGTAACTTGCGACATTGGTTAGAGCAAGATGCCAATGAAGACGGCTGACGCACCCCCAGGCAAAACGCGATTGTACCATAGCGCGCATCCCGAGCTTAGGTCCAAATACAGCACTGGACACGCTCGTGAGCTCGCGAACAAGTGATGAGTGGTAATGTGCATACAAGTACGCTGGGATTGCACATGTGCTAAACGCCTTTGAGCACATACATTCGGGTGTGCCATACCAAGAACGCGCACATTACATCGACTACCAGGATCATAAGGAATGATTGCCTGATCCCAAGACCGTAGAAAGCAGGGCCAAGGGTGCCGGCAGTCATTCTTCGTGAGATAGATCCATCTTCAGTGACATGATTAGTGAAGACTGGTCGAGGGGCGTACGTGAAGATGTTTGTATCTCCGGAGAACCAAATCAAGAATATTTGGTATAACCTTTTATCAGTTCTTTCCTTCAAAGGCACTGGTGCGATACTACAATGGTTTGTAATCAGTAGGGCACATTATGTCACCTAGATCACAGGGGACATACCCGTTCCCTTCAAGCCCCCATTTCTTGAAGAGGGCGGTCGCCCAAATGATGAGATCGTTGTACGATCCACGCCTGAATGGAACGTTCTGTACGCTTCCCGTGTCCTTGAAAAGGTCAAGCGAGAGCACTTCTAGGTCAACTCCGTTGTCCGAATGTGCTGCCTGCGTTTTGCTTTCAATCATGCAGCTCATGGTCCCTGATTTTGAGTGCTTGTGAGCAGTGAGATACCAGGACGAGAGTGGGTACGGACTGTTCGCCCTCTATACCACTATTTGAATGAAGAACCTTATCCGTCCTTTCCATTTTCAAGGAGCGGAAGTTGATACGAAGAAGGACAGAAGCCTGTTGTTCAAACAAGATTTGAGATACGCCTAGACGCCAATTTCTCGTTGCGGCCCAGACCGAGCCAGATACAACTTTTAGGTGATTTGGTGAACGACGATTGATCCGCTCGGAAAACGAGGTCAGGACAAGATAGTGTGGAAATCGGAGAAATACAAACTTCGTCCACATAACGACCTGCATGTGACATTGAGCCTGGCGGTGAACCCGTTTGCGTGTGTCGCCTGCTACAATAGAACGCTGATACCAGAAAAGTAATAGGAGAACCGACCAAGATGACAAAATGAGTACTAGTGGAATGAAAGCCTGATTTCTTAGCGCTGAACGTATCGACTTCGAATTCCGGTAGTCAACGATTAAACACGCCGACCTATCCGCGTCTGTCAGTCATCACATCCAATGGCATGTAGGCAAAGGACGTACCATGCTCAACCCCAGAACCTTGATCGTTGAGATAGTGAGGCCCTACTGATGCCAATGGAGAAGCTGCTCGAGAAGTACCTGCTGTATCTTAACCTTGTCCTTCATTCCCACGCTTGTTCGACACATCTTGCACACGTGAATATGACGACACCTAGAATGAAGCCGAATAACATCCCCACGTCGCCGGTGCCTGCACGCGCGATGGGTCCGACCCACCACGCTTGATCCATGCATACGACGATGAAGCCGACTGTAGCAACAAAGGTCAGCACAGCTGCGTACCCTCTTGGCAGATTTGGATGGTGGGGGTCATTCCATGCATCGCGGACGTCATACGATAACCAGCTGTTTCGCCGAAAGACAAAGTGCTCCGTAAGCACAATAGCGCAAAAGGGGGCGATCCAATAGCCGATGAAACCTGTACAAGAGATTACGGTCAGTGTTAGCTACTGTGCACTATATGATTGAGTGCACCTAAAATGTCAGTGAAAGTGGCATAGAATCTACTTGAGCCCACTATCGCAACGGGTATGAGGCTACGTGATGATTCAAGGTCAGAAGGGACGTTTCAATGGACCCTCATGTACGCACATCGCAGTCGATACGATGGCCAGGAAAAACCTCGGGATCCTTGCAAATGCGGAGGATACAGTCATGAAGCTGGTGCACACTGTGTACATGGCCGGCGCGCACTGGCTCGGCGCAGTGAGAGCCAGTGGCACGAGCAGAAACTTGCCGAATCCACCCGCTGGCTCCAGAATCGCGGCAATGAGTCCTCCGATGTCGTTCCCATTGCCTAGTCCAGATTGCCAAGTGGGGACGTAGTTTGCAGTCGCCGTGAAGGCAGCGCCAAGGAGATGTACGGGCATCTAATATATATGTGTTTAGTATTATAAGCTACCGCTCGGATAATTCAAATGCCTGTGAAAGAGTTCACTTACGCTCGACATAAGGAATCCAAGATATGCATAGAGGAAGATCCTCCAGCTTTGCACAATCGTTGAGCGACGGACGAACTCAGGTTAAGAAGTAGAACACGCTCACGAGCTAGCCTTGCGATCATGGTATACTCCATAGTCTGGCGTCAGAGGTGCATAGCTGACATTGGTCGCAGCAAGGGTAGCACCGAATGTCATGATCGCGGACGCCAAGACGGGGGATGGACTCGTTAGAGGGGCGTCGACCAGATGTTTCCCGCTCACCGCGAGCATGACGACGAACGCGATGACGTTTGGAATCCAGACGAACGTTTCATACCTGATGTTGAAATCTATTCCTGCAATCCGAAACTACTGGCTGGAATGCTCACCAATGCAGAACGCGGTACCCACTAAAGACTACCTGAGTCGATTTATGGATGACTGTTCTGGCGAACACGCCACGACGAAGACGTACCGCAAGCGTGAACAGACCGATGATCACGATGCCGAGCGTCGCGCTGAGATGCGACGAGATGGCTCCGAGTGTCTGCCCTCCGATGATCGTATTCAAAATAACGTATCCTTGCAGTGATATCACATTCAGTATGCTTGGAATAATCGCTCCATAGTAGCTGTTGACATCATAGTCTGAACCCCACGGTTAGTAATGGAAGTACGTACCCCCAGGAGAAGCGTGCTTGCACCATCGATCGAGTCCCCAGCTTTGGCCCGAAGACTGCACTAATGCGAATTGGCCTGGTCTCATCTGTGGGCGAGCGATCAAAGGACTTACAAGTACGCAGGAATCGTGTAGGTTCTGTCACATCGTCAATAACTTTGGCGTACAATGTCGAACCGGAATGCATACATTATGTCGACGACGACGATAACGAGACACGCGTCTCTAATTCCGAGACCGTAAAAGGCAGGACCGACCGTGCCGGCTGCCATCCTAGACAAGAGGGACGCATATTACCAAGTGTCTCATCAATGTCGAACTGAAAGTCGAAAGAAGCGCACGTTAGAACGTTCGCGTTGGCGGAAAACCACACGAAAAATATCTGATACAGCCGAGGGTCACTCCTTTCCTCCGGTGGGACTGGATCAATCCTTCATTACGGAATGATGAGTGACATACAACGTGAGGTGCAGCGAAGACATAGCCGTTAACTTCTAGACCCCATCGTCCCAACGTTTTTGTGATCTTGACGAGCAAGCCATCCTTTGATACCGTCTCTTCGCTCTGCGTTTCGTCGCTAAGCCCAGGGAACGAGTTCTCAGAATAACCCCTTTCATCTATATCTGACAGTCTCTTGCGCTCTTCCATCTCGATCATTGACATGGTTCAGCGAAACGAAGAGGAGAAGCCTTCGGAAAGCTGTATGTGCCAGAGAGGACCGGGTCACACAAATTCCTCATACCTTCTTTCACATTATACTTGGACGCAGCCTTATCCATGATACGACCTGCCAGAGAAGCTCGGAAGGGTGCCGTACCATGAGAACGAGATAGGCAGTGACGCCTGCGCCAGGGTCTGTTGTAATAGAAATACGCAGATAAGCGGATAGGAAGTGCACAAGAATATGCTCCCGGAGAAAGCGGTGAGAAGGGCGTGCAGGTCAGCAGCCTATGCAGAATCGAACTGGCGGTTAAGCGCATGGAAGAGTTGTATGAAGTCGCTATGACACGAGAGGATGGATAACAGGACACCAGACGTTCATTGCTATCGCGACCCCAAGATAAATGAGGTGCAGATTCAAGTGATACCAATAATACAACCGAGAACACGAACGGACAATCTACTCGCGCTGAATGAGAGCCAGCAGGCCGAGGCCTCCTAGTAGCGCATACTTAAGCTGTGGAAAGTCATTCTGCACGCAATACAATGGTGCTTCAGCCATACAATATGATGCATACAGTCGGGGAGACGTACCATAGCGATCGTAACGTATCCCACATATGGTAGAAACCTGGATGTATGAAATTCAATGTGTGAAGGGATGATGACGAGCTTGTATACTCACCCTCTGACCTTCCCTACTATATGCCGCCGCTCCAGCCATTCGAGACCCTGGTATAACTCAAGGTCGTCAATATGGTTGTTGTCGCCCTTCGTGAGAAGCAGTTGTCTTTGCGCGAGAGGACTTGCCGCAACAAGCCTGAAAATACCAACCAAAGGCATCAGTGAGTTATAACGTTGATGAACTAAGCAACAGACAAGACAACGCACCCTTTCTCGTTTGACACAACATCGTGTGTTTCCAATACACGATGGACGATCGGGATGTCGGCTCCGGGTATCTTGTACACCGTGATGTCTCCCACTTTATACCGTTGACTCGCGGGATTTGTGAGAAAGAGCAGGTCACCACGGTAGAATGCCGGCTCCATGGAGCCACTGTGTCGGCGTTTAAGCGTAACTAGCGAAACAGGCACCATAGGACATACCTGAGAACGACGACAATCGGAGACTCCGTGTTCGTGAGCAGCCCAAGGCCCTTCCACATCATGAACCCAGACGCCAGGACCGACATGAAGTTGAGGACCTGTAGTAGGACCTGCGTAGCGGATAGACATAATGGCCCAAAGCACCAAACATGACATAGTTGCTCACATGTCGGAAGCCAAGTCTCCTCAGCGTCTTGAGCTCATCGGCAAACATGACGAGGAGCCCTTCTTGCACAACGAGGAAACAGAAAAGGTGGATGTGGTCTGAGACGAGTCGGTCGCCCCAGAGCACCGGTACAGGCCACGTGGTCGATCGACCCCAGCCTGTTCGCAAGAGCGCCTCGGACCAGTGTTGTGCGAGTCGTCAAATGATCGCGCGACTGTCGTTTAGTCGCATGATGCCAGTCGAAACGACTACAAGCGACGACGACTGTTCCCACGGCAGCGACTATTCCCACGACCGTTCAGCCACACCTGACGCTAGAGGTGATGCGGGAATGGGAAGGCGATTTGGCCACAAAATAATACCATACGCAACAGGATGTGATGCTAGCAATATGTGTAAATGAGAATACATATAAATTCTATGAGCAGAGACTCAGCACTCAGTTCAGACTATCTTCTGCATCGAAGATGAGAAGTCGAGAAGCTTATGAAGCTCAACTTCATCCTGCAAATATGCCTGAGCCTGTTTTCCATCCTTGTGGGATCTTGAAGTCGAATAGATCTCTCAGTGACAGGGAGAGGCAGCCAAGTGAAGTCATTGGCCCCTCGTCCATGCCCTGATCCGACGATGCCTCTTTGGACTCTTCGGGCGCCTGCGTGTCAGAATTGCGCACGTGAATATTGGGCCGTGTCTGCGCAAGCCGTGGGAAAGTCGCGGCGACTTTTCGACTGTCGTACAGTCGTCGATTAATCGCCCCAGTCGTGGGAACGACTGGGGCGACTGGCAGACGACTGGCCCAACACTGCCTCGGACGTGCACCCACAACATTTGCTCGAGGCTCTTATTAATACCACCATCGTCTAGTCGCACGCTGCATATCCCGATAGTGGTAAAGTTATGAACAACGGCAGACGCTAAGGTCCACGACTATTCACAGGTGTAAGACCTATGGTAGCCTGCAGACTTCCGATACTCTGGCCTCTCAACGTACACCCGGATGGTGTGTGTTACGGATGGACACATCCTCTGATTTGCGTGGCAGGTGTTATCCAGATTGGCGACGTAAGAGTCTTTACTATGTATTCTTTCAAAGCTCAGATATAAGCTGCAGAAGGAAACCGCAGTGGAAGTCCTCCAGCGGGTCCTCAGCGGAGATACCTGGGCACCGATCCAACAGCTTTGTGGCCAGAGTCCCACTATACTTGGCCGCTGTTCCGTTTATCCACTTATTCATGATGGTGCTACGCGCCATCTACCTCAGCTGCACCTTGAGGGAGAAGCCCGACCTCGCGAATGTACGAGCGGATTGTCTAACCCAAAGCGAGATCGCCCAGTCTGACATTCCATTTAAAGATGACCAACCAATGATATATTACAAAAGACCGAATCGCGCGATGATGCAATTCTACTCTTTTGGCGATGGCGAACTAGACATTCTGCCTTCTCGGGAAACGCTAGATATCTTGGGCTCCAAAACGGATCCCGCCCGAGCGACCCTTGAGCACGACTTCTCACGTCCTGCATTCAACGCACAGCCTGCACTGGATGCGACGGTGCTTAGCCAGTTGAACGTAGCACAATTACTGGCCGACCTAGTTGATCGAGCGATTCATACAACTGGACACGCCTCGGAGGACTTGCGGTCAGGAGCACAGCTCCTGCATGATCCCACTCCACGTATTCCAACCCAAACGACATCACGGCTGCCAAAATGGCTCACCAGCTTGGCGCTACCAATGCCTATGGTCCTCAGAGACATTTCCGCCACAGGCAGGCTTTTGAGGTCCATCCACAGAAATACTTATACTGATTATCTCGTAGTGGAGCAGATCAATGTACGGACAGAACAGGCGTTGTTCGTCATGACCCAATCGACCACTTTCATGCAAAGGGATAGCTCACGGACAATCGAGTTTATCTCGCGATATGTCAAGTACGCTGTATCTTATGGGCACAAACTGCCGCTCTGATGTAGTTTGTGCAGGTTCTACAATTGTGTCTGGCTTGTCCTCAATGACATCATTATTGGCGTCGCCTTCGGGTCGTTCCTATGCGAGAACCAATTATTGCTGTCCCGGATCCTGGATCAATGCGTACAGGTGGGATTCCCAAGTGTCAATGCAACATAAATAAATACGATCTCATGGGACCTCAGCTGTACCTCGTCGATTCCATACAGCATGCGCTTCTATGGCTCGACAATTGGCCTGCAGGACTCAAACTCAACACCGAGCTTAGCCAGTTCTACTGTCACACGCTCCTCGGCGTGGTTTCTATCTGGGGTTGTGCGTCCTACACTATCCGCTCTCTTAGTCCGTTAGATCTGACGCACATCCATTATTCGACGTGTATAGATGTCCTGCAATGCGCCGCGCCGTACTTCCCTGCTTTCCTGTGGATAGCGGGGACCATGGGTGGATGCGGCATGACGATGGTCGTCTCGTTGCTATCAGACGCACTCGGCTTTCTGACGGCACATCTCTATGTCTGCTACCTGCTCACCACGACGGCGTTCAGCCAGCAGCTGAGCCTTGCAGGATCTCTATGGAATCTGTTCCGCGGTGCGCATCATTGTCGCCTCGCGGGCTAAGAGTCGTTGGTTCTGACCTATCATAGGGAAGCGATTCAACGTACTTCGGAATCGGCTTGACTCGTGGGATTACGACATCGATCAATTGTTGCTGGGCACGATTCTGTTCACGTTGGTCGCCTTCCTCTCTCCGACCGTGCTCACGTACTACGCGCTCTTCGCTGCAGTAAGACATATCATTCCGTGTCCTATTGTACACTCACTCATGCGACTTGCTTCCTTATAGACTCACCTCAGCACAATAACGCTCTGTGCTATCCTCGACACGGTCATTGCGTTGCTCAATCACTTCCCGCTCTTTGCCTTGATGCTTCGTATCAAGGACCCGATGCGTCTACCAGGCAAGCACTATTCACGCATGCGCAAATATCAGGAAGACTGACATCCACGTAGGACAGGTTGCATTCAGGAGATTGGCTGGACGAGGAGGGCCCTTGATCCTTGAGGTAATCCTGATCAACGCGGTGTTCAAGTCGCGAGTCTGATGTGAGTTCTATTAGAATCAGCCAGCCCCATTGTCATCTGTGTTCGTGCACTACGGTGAGCTCCTTGTGACGACATGACAAGAAGCGATCTGACCTGCAGATAGCCCATCTATGGTCTCGCCTTGCCATGCATTATGGTCCTGGGCGAGTCCTCCAATTGCTCCTGTCAGGGCGACGACTCGCTCGGATCCCGCGCACTGCAATTCATTTCAGCATGGTCCCCAAGGGCAAGGATGATGATGGGTCACAGAAAGAGGAAAAACAGTCATAATTCATATGGTGTAAAGGACCTACGGTGTGTGCATGAAGTGTGACCATGTCAAACTTGATAATCAACCATATAGTAAACACTTATCATTCTGACATATGCCAGAATGATAGGCATATTTTGTATGATTGATTATCAGTTTTAAGGACTGCCTTCTCAAGGCATTAAGGACTGCCTTTTCAAGGCATTAATTCGCTTTATTTTACATGGCTCAACTTTGAGCAGTCATGTGGTGCGCTCTCGGCCATTTGACAATGGCTTAGAGCTGTAACCTGACGTTGTAGTCAGATTCACTATTTTTCACACAGAAGAGAAATAGCAAAGGGTATGTCTCCATTGCCGCAGTATAGAGAAGTCGGTGCTGACCATCTTGCTGTGCGATGCTCACCTATGACATTCCAGGAGGTCGACACTATCATCGTCATGGCGTCAACGTCTGCCACGTCTGCCGGTACGGCACTGTACTGCTCGTCACATATGTCATCACGCAAGCTAGTGAGTCCTGCTGCCTATGTCTACCGCGACATGTCGTTGGTGAACAACACGCTGCCCTCCATAGTCAACTGTACCAGTGACTCGGGCTTGCCACGATGTGCGTGCACGATGCTGCTGATCATCGAGATAACGTATGTGGGTCAGACCTCGAGTACGTGCAGACAGCTATAACGCACATGCGCAGCGAGCCTCCGTAAGTAGCAGGTTCGTAATTGGCTCAAACACGAGGAAACGCGGTGTTTGTGCGTACTCGAAATGTCGGAAGAAGTCAGAGGCAGTAAGCTGGTGGTGAGGGTAGGAGCAGCGCCTGACAGTCATACGGAATGGATGGTAAACGCTACTAGTGACACAATCTCTTCTTCTCCCGTGTCCAATAACTCATACTTATACCCGCTCCGGCGCTGCCACCGTGCCCATCACCGTTATGCAGCTCTCTCGTGGAGTCTCGCGTCGCATTAAGCTAGTCGACGTGTCCGCGGGCAACGTGCCAGCTCGAACCGTCGTCGGAAAAAGCCTGATCAAGTTTCGGCCGACGGCATGGCTTTACGACATCCTTCAGGCCGCTGGCAGATCGTGATCAGTTAAAAGTACTTCCTCTTCACCCTGCTCCTACCCAGCGTCACGGTTGGCACCCTGAATCCGCGCTCCATCATCCAGCGTGCGTATCCTGTACTTCTGGCGAGATTGTTACCGACTAAATTGGCTGTCACAGCGGCGCGCTACGTCACGCGGCATAAGGCGCGACAAGTCTCTGTCATCGGGGCTTTTACTACCGAGGTCGATGTGAGTATCACATGTCCGCACGTTGCTTCCCAAAGCCTACTCACGGCTAATCTTGCCAATCCTATCCGCCGGTCAACAAGACTGTTACTTTTGGAGGTCCGGTGGCTTCTCCGTCTTGTGCCCGAGGATGCCTGGACTCTAACTTGTGCTGTAGACAGGAGATCCAGGGTCAGGTTGCGAAGACGATGGTCAAGTTCGGTTACCTCTTCTTTGGAGTTGGTGCGGAATTCAGGGCTTCAATATCCCCGGTGTGAAGGAGAATGCGTGCTTCATGAAGGAGTTGGAGGATGCAGAGAAGGTGCGTGCCCTCCACGTGTAATCAAGTTGGGTCCATACTGATGTCGTCATCTGCCAGATGCAACGCCGTTTCTTCGCCTGTGAGCCCAAGAACACTTACATGGGGGAGTCAACCTGACAATCGTATATTCAGGTTTGGAGCCTGCCGCATTCCCTGGTCAGACGAGTGAGGAGGCGACCCGCTTGCTGCACATGGTATGTAGACGCAGTTGCCTCAATGATCCCTGTTGTATGCTGTGGTTTGCGGTGGTCCTCCTGGCATCGAAGTCAGGTACATCGAGCTCGTTATCCCGTTTTGCACCAACCTTATGACATAAATTAGGCACAAGCCGCGTCGCATTAGGGTGTATGCCTCGCGCGCATCTTCGCGCAACTCGCACCCGGATCACCGAACTTTGGCCTTGAGCGCCGACATCGCGCCTTTTTCTTTGCTCTTCGACAACGCCTGCGAACGCAGAGGTCCCAACGTGCTTGACTTCGCATGTTTCTTGCCGCGCATATAGTCACCAGGGTAGAGCGCGATCGCGATCGTGGTCGATGGACGCTCGCGCAAATATAAATTGTACATGAGGTAAATATTAGTATTATTGATGCAACGTATGACATCATTTACCTTCGCCATTCTGCATGATGAAAACCCGCGGCTTTTCTGGCGAGTTTCATCCGTCAGAAGGAGCAGGTGGCTTTTATCTGTTTACAGTGTTGACTGTGTTTCACCCCTTTTTCGCACCCTTGCCGTGCGAAATCAGACATTCACACGGTAAACGGAGCAAATTCACGCGGAATTGGTCTCTTAGTGGCTACTATGTACAACACAATACGAAGGCGATGTAATCAGTGGCGGATACCTATGGTTTTTGCAAAGGGAATCAAATAATGTATCAGTCCAGATCCGTTACTAAGCTCCGGGACATGAACTCACTGATCAATCATAGAAGATTCCTCTGGGCGGCGGCACGGGCATGCCGCGCTCGCGGGCTGCTTCATTCACGAACTCCTCTGCGGCTTTCTTGACCCCGCTTGAGAATTTCCCGCGTCCTCTATATCCCCCAAGACCGCTATGCACCAGCACGCGCAACCGCTCCCGCTGGCGACGTCGAATAAAAACCGCGACCGTTTCTTGTCATGGATGATGAGGTTGAGCATGTCATTAACTGTCCATTCATCGTCGACGACGTCCCAGTATGTGGTGGCGACAGAACGATGGGTATTCTCGTAATTTCGACTCATTGCGATTGTATTGGCCATTCCGGTCCCCTTGTTCAAAAGCGTCACATGAAGCTCTACGGATCGCTTTTCAACAAGGTTAGCTTCCACAGGAGTCAACTGGAAGAACAGTCTAGAACAACATAAGTGAGTAACTTTAAGACAGATGGATATTCCAGCGCCGCACTTACCGCCAGTGGTACGAATAAATACCTCTAACATTGTCCAATGTGCCGGTGCAAGCGAGATGCACGCGCTTGATCGTGCTCGTTTTGTCAGCGGCAGTGACGGAATCAGTGTTGAAAATCGACAAATTATCTGACTCTCCGCCCTCAACCCAGTTGGCGGTGGCGATAGCTTCCATAAGGGCAGGATCCATGTTGCAAGGCGGATATTCGGTGTGGGGGATTTTCTGGTCGAGTAGGCTGGGCCTTCCACCCAGGACTCGGAAACTTATATAGCACGGAGAAAGTCCGATTTCGTATCCAGACGGCCATAAAGTCCGGTCAGTTGGATACTGTTCTACGAAAATGATAAACAGAAATTCTTGGATACTGATGCGGACCACGCTCATAGCATATGGTTCTCAAAGACGCATTTAGAAGGTCGTCGAGGTCTTGCTCACTGACAGTAGGCGTGCTGATTCCATGCAGTCAGTAAAATTTCAATCAATGCAGATAAATATGAATACATGGGATACAGAGTAGAACCCCAACTCGTTAATAAGGAACCGACCTGTTTTGTGCAGCAACCCATATGATATCCAAAGGGGTTGTTCACGAATCAGGGTTGCTCAATAAAGTATACGGGAACCTACCACGCACATGGGATTTGAAGACGGAGATGATCATAACTCCCTTGTGATTCTGAACACTTGGAGCCGACGTGCGGCGACCTTTCACCAGGAGATTGGCTGACGGAGCGCAGTGTCCGTGTACGCTGTGGACACTAGAAGCAGAGCCTCTGTCGGAGTCAATACGCAGTCACGCTGTAACAATCAACTCTCGTAACATGCTTCCGAGTCCCAATGTATTGAAAGGGGAATACTGTTATAGTAGACTGGTAAACAGTACCGGATCGAGCCACATTTCAGAGTCCTATTGCTCACGAGATGTATCATGTTGATTTGTCATTCGGTCGGTGAAGGAACACGAGCAGGCGTATGTGTCAAGATGATATCAGTGTAGGGTAAATAATTCATCGGTGTGTAAATTACCGTTTTTTACAGACCCAGGTTTTGGGACCCCGTTTTTTACATGGTAAAAAATGTAAATTACATAAATCACGGGACTATTTGCGCTTCGGCACGTGACACCCTCCAGTGTGTAAAAAACAGTAAAAAAGGTAGAAAAATGTAAAGATATGTTAAAAAAAGCTCCAGGGAGCATATTTATCGCATGCAAGGGCAGAAAGAGTATCTAGCATATGCTACAGACTACCTACACATCCTAATTGAACTCCCATAACACCTTGCCAAGTTGCCATCTTCTGCCTCATTTACATTTACTAGCTCCTCCTAAATATCCATGCAGCCGCTGTGGCTTCAAGTTCCCAGCCCTAGATGATGGGGGCGATTGTAATGGGCGAGATGAAGAGCGTGAGCCATTATGATGAGAGAGGACCGAGGGGTTCACGAACAACAGGGGCAGAGGCCCGAATACTGGTGTTGGCTTGACAAAGAGATACAAGAGGTGTTCGAACCATTCTAAGAGATTATAAGTACCTACGGCTAGATCCAAGACAGCGCGGCTAAGTCCGAAAAGGTGAGTCAGAACTTGTACTACGTTCGAGCAGAGTCCGTTGATATCTACAGAGACCGTGTATAAGTATGTAGACTACAAAGATACAAAGAGTAGCACACTGAAGCAGTGTTGACAAAATAATAGCCCGGGGTGCAAGGCATTGGCCCAATTGGCGGCTGAACGGGGGTACACAGCACGTGACACACCCTTTGTCGCGACTTGAGGTCTAGCGACGGGGGAAAACCTAAAAGGAGCTGGGGGCGTTCGACTGATTCTCACCGAAGCGATGGTGAGCGATGCTCAAACCTAAGGCTAGGGACAAGTTAATATATTAGTGAGGTAAGAAAAGGAATACAAAGGATGCTTACTGACCTAGGGACAAGAGGTCGAAACTGAGGTCCCTAGGGCAGCAGAGGCCGGCTTATATACATGGGGAGATTAGGGCAGGCTGTGCACGTTGGTCCGTGCGCAGCTGGTCTGTGCGCAGCATGCCGACGCGGCCCCGGGGGCCGGTGAGTCAGAGCGGCTGTGTCAGCGGGGCCCGAGCTGTGCCGTGCGCTGCCGCCCCATCTAATCTAATCGTACAGTAGATAGTGACGCGTCCATATCCGGTATGTAGTACAGAGGTTGCGGGTTAGAGCCCGCGAAAAGGAAGAAATTAAAAAACGGCTAGACGCCGTACCAACTCGTGACATTACCCCCCCCTCAACGGCGCATGACCTCATGCGAGGTGCCCTTGCCCATCTCCCATCCGGAGCGGCAACATGCTTCAGTCAGCGGCGAAGGCATTGGCTGAAAGTTGAGACCACCAAAGGTAGCAGCATTGAGTCGACGAGGGGCATTTGGATTCTTCCGGTGGAAGTCGGCTATGAGGGCCGGCGCATTGGCAACATTGCGCGCCGGTTCCCATGACGTATGCGAGTCGTCATAACCCTTCCACTTGACAAGGTACTGCAGCTGACGCCGGAAGATCCTCGAATCTTTGATCCGCTCAACCTCGTACTCCTCGTCGCCCTCAACCTCGATCGCAGGCGGCTCCTCCGGCTCCCGGCCCGGGATATCGCTACGCGTGTACTTGCTAAGCAAGGAGACATGGAACACCGGGTGTACCGGCACCAACTTCGGCAGGATTAATTCGTAATCCAGGTCTCCGAGCTTTCGCCGCACGGCATAAGGTCCGAGGCGCTTGGGACTGAGCTTCTTGCTCGGCTGTTTCAGCTTAAGGTTTCGGGCGTC